GCCGGGGTGGTTCAGCATTTTGGAGGAAAATATTATATTTTTTTAATAGTCTAGTTTCCCCACAATGAATGTACTTAAATGCCATTAGATGGATCCTGGCCCCCATATCCCTTTGAAAGGGGCGTAGGGGCAAATATTGTAATAATTTGAATTATCACAACTTTCGGGCCGAAATTAGAAGGGCCGGGGTGGTTCAGGATTTTGGAGGAAAATATATATATTTTTTAATAGGCTAGTTTCCCCACAATGAATGTACCCACATGCCATTAGATGGATCTTGACCCCCATATCCCTTTGAAAGGGGCGTAGGGGCAAATATTGTGATAATTTGAATAAACACCAATTTCAGGCCGAAATGGTAAGGGCCGGGGTGGTTCAGCATTTTGGAGGAAAATATTATTTTTTTTGAATAGGTTAGTTTCCCCACAATGAATGTCCATACATGCCATTAGATGGATCTTGACCCCTATATCCCTTTGAAAGGGGCGTAGGGGCAAATATTGTGATAATTTGAATTATCACAACTTTCGTGCCGAAATTGTAAGGGCCGGGGTGGTTCAGCATTTTGGAGGAAAATATTATTTTTTTTGAATAGGTTAGTTTCCCCACAATGAATGTCCATACATGCCTTTAGATGGATCTTGACCCCCATATCCCTTTGAAAGGGGTGTAGGGGCAAATATTGTGATAATTTGAATTATCACAACTTTCGTGCCGAAATTGTAAGGGCCGGGGTGGTTCAGCATTTTGGAGGAAAATTTCTTTTTTTTTTTGAATAGGTTAGTTTCCCCACAATGAATGTCCATACATGCCATTAGATGGATCCTGACCCCTAATCCCTTTGAAAGGGGCGTAGGGGCAAATATTGTGATAATTTGAATAAACACCAATTTCAGGCCGAAATGGTAAGGGCCGGGGTGGTTCAGGATTTTGGAGGAAAATATATATATTTTATAATAGGCTAGTTTCCCCACAATGATTGTACCTACATGCAATTAAATCGATTCTGACCCCCATATCCCTTTGAAAGGGGCGTAGTGGCAAATATTGTAAAAATTTGAATTATCACAACTTTCGGGCCGAAATTGTAAGGGCCGGGGTGGTTCAGCATTTTGGAGGAAAATATTATATTTTTTTAATAGGCTAGTTTCCCCACAATGAATGTACTTAAATGCCATTAGATGGATCCTGACCCCCATATCCCTTTGAAAGGGGCGTAGGGGCAAATATTGTAATAATTTGAATTATCACAACTTTCGGGCCGAAATTAGAAGGTCCGGGGTGGTTCAGCATTTTTGAGGAAAATATTATATTTTTTTAATAGGTTAGTTTTCCCACAATGAATGTCCATACATGCCATTAGATGGATCTTGACCCCCATATCCCTTTGAAAGGGGCGTAGGGGCAAATATTGTGATAATTTGAATTATCACAACTTTCGTGCCGAAATTAGAAGGGCCGGGGTGGTTCAGCATTTTCGAGGAAAATATTTTTTTTTTGAATAGGTTAGTTTCCCCACAATGAATGTCCATACATGCCATTAGATGGATCTTGACCCCCATATCCCTTTGAAAGGGGCGTAGGGGCAAATATTGTAAAAATTTGAATTATCACAACTTTCGGGCCGAAATTAGAAGGGCCGGGGTGGTTCAGCATTTTGGAGGAAAATATTATTTTTTTTGAATAGGTTAGTTTCCCCACAATGAATGTCCATACATGCCATTAGATGGATCTTGACCCCCATATCCCTTTGAAAGGGGCGTAGGGGCAAATATTGTGATAATTTGAATTATCACAACTTTCGTGCCGAAATTGTAAGGGCCGGGGTGGTTCAGCATTTTGGAGGAAAATTTTTTTTTTTTGAATAGGTTAGTTTCCCCACAATGAATGTCCATACATGCCATTAGATGGATCCTGACCCCTAATCCCTTTGAAAGGGGCGTAGGGGCAAATATTGTGATAATTTGAATAAACACCAATTTCAGGCCGAAATGGTAAGGGCCGGGGTGGTTCAGGATTTTGGAGGAAAATATATATATTTTATAATAGGCTAGTTTCCCCACAATGATTGTACCTACATGCAATTAAATCGATTCTGACCCCCATATCCCTTTGAAAGGGGCGTAGTGGCAAATATTGTAAAAATTTGAATTATCACAACTTTGGGCCGAAATTGTAAGGGCCGGGGTGGTTCAGCATTTTGGAGGAAAATATTATATTTTTTTAATAGTCTAGTTTCCCCACAATGAATGTACTTAAAAGCCATTAGATGGATCCTGGCCCCCATATCCCTTTGAAAGGGGCGTAGGGGCAAATATTGTAATAATTTGAATTATCACAACTTTCGGGCCGAAATTAGAAGGTCCGGGGTGGTTCAGGATTTTGGAGGAAAATATTATATTTTTTTAATAGGTTAGTTTTCCCACAATGAATGTCCATACATGCCATTAGATGGATCTTGACCCCCATATCCCTTTGAAAGGGGCATAGCGGCAAATATTTTGATAATTTGAATAAACACCAATTTCAGGCCAAAATGGTAAGGGCCGGGGTGGTTCAGCATTTTCGAGGAAAATATTATATTTTGTGAATAGGCTAGTTTCCCCACAATCAATGAACATACATGCCATTAGATGGATCCTGACCCCCATATCCCTTTGAAAGGGGCGAAGTTGCAAATATTGTAAAAATTTGAATTATCACAACTTTCGGGCCGAAATTAGAAGGTCCGGGGTGGTTCAGCATCTTGGAGGAAAATATATATATTTTTTAATAGGTTAGTTTCCCCACAATGAATGTCCATACATGCCATTAGATGATCCTGACCCCCATATCCCTTTGAAAGGGGCATAGGGGCAAATATTGTGATAATTTGAATAAACACCAATTTCAGGCCGAAATGGTAAGGGCCGGGGTGGTTCAGCATTTTGGAGGAAAATATTATATTTTTTTAATAGGCTAGTTTCCCCACAATGAATGTACATACATGCCATTAGATGGATCTTGACCCCCATATCCCTTTGAAAGGGGCGTAGGGGCGAATATTGTGATAATTTGAATAAACACCAATTTCAGGCCGAAATGGTAAGGGCCGGGGTGGTTCAGGATTTTGGAGGAAAATATTATTTTTATGCCTCCGCCACCGAAGGTGGTGCCGGAGGCATCATGTTTTCGGGTTGTCCGTCCGTACGTCCGTCCCGTTTGACCGTTATCACAATATCTCAAGAACCATTTAAGATTTAAACTTAAGACTGGCGAATAGTATTTATTACCATAGGAAGACGATCTGATTAGATTTTGGAGTACGTAGGTCAAAGGTCACAGGTCACAGAGGTCAACTTATGAAATTCCATACATTGAGATTGTTATCATGATATCTCAAGAACGACTGGAGATTTAAACTTCAAACTTTAGGATAGTATGTATCACCATAGGAAGACGATCTGATTAGATTTTGGAGCACGTAGGTCAAAGGTCGAGGGTCATAGAGGTCAACTTATGAAATTCCATACATTGAGATTGTTATCATGATATCTCAAGAACCACTGGAGATGTAAAAACTTCAAACTTAAGGATAGTATGTATTACCATAGGAAGACGATCTGATTAGATTTTGGAGCACGTAGGTCAAAGGTCAAGGGTCACAGAGGTCAACTTATGAAATTCCATACATTGAGATTGTTATCATAATATCTCAAGAACCACTGGAGATTTAAACTTCAAACTTAATGATAGTGTGTATCACCATAGGAAGACAATCTGATTAGATTTTGGAGCACGTAGGTCAAAGGTCAAGGGTCACAGAGGTCAACTTATGAAATTCCATACATTGAGATCGTTATCGCGATATCTCAAGAACCACTGGAGAATTTTCACTTCAAACTTAATGATAGTATGTATCACCATATCATAATATCTCAAGAACCACTGGAGATTTAAACTTCAAACTTAATGATAGTGTGTATCACCATAGGAAGACAATCTGATTAGATTTTGGAGCACGTAGGTCAAAGGTCAAGGGTCACAGAGGTCAACTTATGAAATTCCATACATTGAGATCGTTATCGCGATATCTCAAGAACCACTGGAGAATTTTCACTTCAAACTTAATGATAGTATGTATCACCATATCATAATATCTCAAGAACCACTGGAGATTTAAACTTCAAACTTAATGATAGTGTGTATCACCATAGGAAGAAAATCTGATTAGATTTTGGAGCACGTAGGTCAAAGGTCAAGGGTCACAGAGGTCAACTTATGAAATTCCATACATTGAGATCGTTATCACGATATCTCAAGAACCACTGGAGAATTTTCACTTCAAACTTAATGATAGTATGTATCACCATATCATAATATCTCAAGAACCACTGGAGATTTAAACTTCAAACTTAATGATAGTGTGTATCACCATAGGAAGACAATCTGATTAGATTTTGGAGCACGTAGGTCAAAGGTCAAGGGTCACAGAGGTCAACTTATGAAATTCCATACATTGAGATTGTTATCATGATATCTCAAGAACCACTGGAGATTTAAACTCCAAACTTGTTTAAATTGCTCTATGGCGGAGGCATCATTTTCGACTGCGCGCAGTCCAAATTCCATCTAGTTTTTTTCTATACTGCACTTTATGTTTCCATTACCACCCAGTCTTATTTAATCTTGTATCGAAATTGGATAATATTTCAGCCCCTGAACTAATTGTAATAATTTGACTATGGTGTCAAGGCTTATAATGTTTCACATAGGTATGTTTGTATGTTAGGTTTTAAATAATTTGCCTTTTTCACATTATAAATGACATTTGAGTTGATCATGTCATGAGATAAATTCTTTATTGTGAATTTATAATGTACATTTATACTTATTGACAATAGAAGCTAAACTGAACTTAATGGAAATTAAGAACATTTGGCCTTGAATTGTAATCTATTTGCTGAATTTTTAACTTAACTTTGTGCTTGAAACTGAGTGATTATTTTCAATTGTATTTTCAAAACAGATATCAGCACTACTCGATTCTTCTTCAACTTAGGCGTAGAGGTAAGAATACATGAGATAACTATCACTGTTTTACATTTCCTCATACACAATGTCTTTCTAGAGAAAATAAAAAGGCTAAGTAATTAATGTAATATTTGTTGTGTTTCAGCTTCAATCACAAATGACCTGAAAGCATGGCAGTCTTTTATCACGGCATTGCAAGAATTTCAATGTATACTATTTTCCATGTACACCTTTCTGTTATTTTCCCCTTGGTACTTTTTCTACATTACCAGGTTATGTATTAAATTTCTCATGGTTACATTAAGGTTTTGTTTCTGAATAACTGGATGAAAAGTCTGAATTATCATTACATCATTTGTCTTATTGTCATAAAATGGGAAAGCGTTAAAGGCCCACTGTACTACTTGTAGCTACTTGCTCCCTCTATATTGAAAACACTGCCTAATCGGTGACCATTGGTCCCCCATGATCCTCTTTTGTTAATTGAGAGCTGAGTTGATGAGATAGCCACCTGTCAGTGACCTTCCTGGGTGGTCTAATCCCTCCTAGCTAAACTAGTACAGATGAGTTTTAAAAGAATTTTTTGTTTGTTGGAACATTGAATTCTTAAAGAGTTCAAGGCAATCAACTTGTTATCAGTGTCTGTACATTTAACTTGTTTCCCCCCTCCCAAATTCCCCAGTACTACCGAAGGGTATGCATGATTCAGCAGCTCCAACACCAGCAGTGCTACCAGTTTCCTGCATCCGGCCCGATGCCCCAACAGCAGCAGCAGCAGCCTCCGCAACACGGGACATCACCAGGCTACACCACCCACATGATGCCCCACCCCCCTGGTCTAGGCATGAGTGCCCCGCCCATGGGTGCTAAGAACCTGTATGATGTAGGGGGCGGAGTGGCGGTGCTCAACCCCGGTGGGTCTGGTGGCGGTGGAGCTGGTGGGCAGGAAGACGATGATCAGCAGGATGGACAAGTCGGATATGATGGTGAGTTTATGTCAGGAGGCGCGATAGCTCAGGTGGTAGAGCAGTGGTCTCGTAATCTTGCGACCCGGGTTCGAAACCGAGGGGATGCGCTAGTGCCCTTTGGTAAGGCAGTAATCCTCATTACCAGGTCTCCCGGAGAGGAGGACCTGAAGCCTTCTGTCCTCTGGTTGCTTATTAACAGGCATTTATGCTTTCTTAGCAGTCAGGTAAAATAACCACCACTACCATTTTGCTCATTGCTCGGGATCTTCACTATATTTCAAGGGCTTGGAAGAAATGGTAGTGGGGCCTTCGACTGGAAATGATGAGGATCATAGTGATAATAATGATGGTGATGAGGATGATGATTGTGATGATGATGGTGATAGTGAAAATAATTATGATTAACCCTGTAAGTTGTGGCTCTGATCGGATCGGAAGATCGGAGCCACACCCTCGCACCTTTGATCGGTATCGGATCGGATTTTTTTTTTTTTTTTTTTTTAATGACGAAATTTTTCAAGTTTTTGGCTATCAAATGCTCAAAAAAAGTTCATGGATTATTTTGTCATTTGGAGTAGTTGTAGTTCATGTATGTTGATATTATTCCCCGATCACCCCTGATCGGATCGGTATCGGCGGCCGATCCGATGATCGTTTACAGGGTTAATTATGATGATGGTGATGGTGATGGTTGTGATGTTGATGACGATTATAATAATGATGAAGGTAACGATTATGATGATGGTTATGGTGATGATTGTGATTTGGTTTTGATGATTTAAAACTTGAAACCTCCCTGTGAGAAGACTACTGCTTTAAAAATGAGCCATTCAGCAACTGCACTTGATACTCTCTAGGATGGATAGCCCAACTTTCAGAGTATTACTTTCAAAGTATTGATCTCTTCCATGCACAGGTCACGGGAGGAACTTCAACCAGGGTTACATGTCTGAACCTATACCTATCAACAGCTCTGGTATCTCCCAACCCAGCAGTACTGTGTATGGTAACATGTGCAATGTAGGAGGCGAGGCGTATGTTCCTGTGGCCTACCAGTCACCAGGCATGCAGCATCAAAGCCCTATTCCAGGTTAGTGTCAAGCCCAGTCATGCATGTGCTTCATGGAATAGCTTGATGAAATTAAAAATTGTTTAGTTGGATAGAAACCATGGACAACATCCTGTTTATCAATGTGAGACGGATGTCGGGATGATAGGGTATTAGGTATGGACAGAAATCTGTTTTCAGACCATAAAATCTCTTTCTTGATAAATTGAAAGATTTCTATTTTATCTTATGGTTAAAATATAATTACGTCCAGAATGAAAAGAAAAATTTGGTTTAGTTATTCTGATTCTGATTTTTTAATCTCCACTTTCATTTTATTCAGGCAATCAGATGGGGGTTACCTCTACCACTCACAACCCTTACATGTACTCACAACCGATAGCCACACCCATGGGGTACACAGGGGGTAAGATGCCGCCACACCCTAACCCCCAATCGGCCTACTCTCCTAACAACCACGTCACTTACGTCCAGATGGCTTCACCTGCCATGTCTCACCAGCAGCAACATCATCCACCACACCAGCAACAAACCTGCGTGGCCATGCCGAGCAATCAAGGCAACGTTGCAGCATCGAGCAGCGGCCAGTATTCAACGCACAGCACCTCGGTGGTAAGCAACAGCAGTTGCAGCAGCCAAGATAGTGGTATCCTGAGCTGCAGTCCTCCGCAGGTGCCGTATGCCACAAGTGGCCAGTGATGAATCGACCTGCAACATTGATAGTAAGCAACATTGTTGCAACATGTGAGATGGAATACTGAATATCAGCAAGTCATAACCCTTGTCATCAGAGCTGCACTGTGAGCGGATATTACATCTATGTATAAACAAATGATGTAATGATGATAATAGCAACCAAGTTATTTATGATCTTCTTAAATGATGATGACAAAAGCTGAGATGTTTTATCAAGATGTTTATGAAGATACTTATGAAGGCTAGCAATACCTACCACAATGCCTTCCTGCAAATGAGTTGTTTGTTTTGATGTTTAAAAGGAAGTTACAGTAAGTGATAGCTTCAGGTTCTAATACATTACAGTATTATTTTGAGATGTGCCTTATTCAGGGGAATGTTGTATAGACGTGTGTGAATGTGAAGGAGGTGTTCTAACTATAGAAGTACATGAATAATCTCTTGTAACTATAGAACTACGTGGAAATGTGTTTGAGCTGATGATGGAGTGCTAGCCAAATAGTTTATGCAATAGCTGTTTAATATTTTGAAAGTGTTTGAGAAAAAGTGAACTTGTATGTTAAGACGTAAGGTATCAATTGCTTTAAACAACTAATTTTATTTTTTAGCCTTTGATTAATCTTTCATGTAATAGTTTTCTCATAAAAATGGTTATAGTGTAGTCGTTGTCCAATATATCTTGACTGCAGAAATGTCAACTTATTACCATATCTCAATGAATGATAAAGTAAAGTATGTTGTTGCGTGATCTAAAGCAGCATAGAACTGTGATGAAGTTCTTTCAAACATGTCCGCACTCATTTGTTCAATATGACTGGTTTCACCCAAAACTGTTCAGAAAAAAAATGGTAACAGAAAGGTTAAATGATGTGATTGGGATAAGTTAATTGATAAATGGTAGTGTGATAAGAAAAATGTTAGTGTAAATACGTATTTCATCTTGAAGAAATCACATATCATTTTGAATAGTTACTAATTGTATTTTATCAAGACATTATGAACACTTGAAACTTTCCTAGTTGACAGTGGTGTCACAAAATGGAATTCCATTGTGAAGGGCAAGGTAAATATAAAACAAGGTAACTAGCTTATTGTATCTTGCACTTTCGGTCTACTTGCTTCAAGCTATTTTTTTTAAAGGATAGTGAGAGACATAGATTCTCATTATTTCATTAGCAACAGTCCATGTACACTTGTATGATTGCAATTCTTACTGCAGCTACACTGCCAATTTGCTTAAGAAGTAACACAACTCTTGATTTTATGTCTGAAATGGTATGACTGTAATTGTGAGTAACATCTCGGCTCTTTGACATGTTTTGATTTTCAGATGTAGAAATGTAAATTTTCCTTTAGTTTGCTGCCTTTACTTTGACAGAAATGAGAGATCGAAATTAAAAGATTCAAACTTTTAAATTCATAGCTTCCAGTGTGATTGTGTACAATATACTACTTCTTGAAACATTCCATTAATGATATAATCACAATATATATAATGTATAATGCAAGTTACAGTATACACAAGAACACTACTTTAAATATGACTCATTACTAGTATTATTGCATCATATGTATATATTCTAATAACATGATGTTTAGCTTTGTATGAAAGATGTAAAAAGAGATACATAGTGTTGTGAACGCCTCATTAAGACAATAAATTGAACTTCGAGCCATACAGAATTGTTTAAGATGAAAATTATCAAAAGGCTGAATGGTTAGTTTAGAATCATACATGTACGTTTGCCACACACTATGCATACTCGTATTATCAGAAATGTGTTATGTATCATATGCAAACCGCCCAATATGCCTTTTAATGTGTACCATGATGTTTATAATATGTTTTGAAATGCATTTGTCTTGTCAATTTTGCATTATTACATGGGTTGTGCTTTAACAAAACAAACAGGGTAACCTCAGGTTAAAGTAGCTGACACTGCGTACGGTAATAACATGTGAACATGCATCTACAGACATCAAGATTTTGATGCTTTATGCATTCATGTTTAAGCATATATGTTATGTTATCCAAATATACAAAAACCAAGAAATTCTCTTCCTGTTTGCAATTATTGCCTTCAAGTTCAATTACCGGTACAGGAAATTTGAATGTTATTTATCTGATATACTTTTCAAGTACTATACTGCAAAGCACATATTTTGAAATGCCTGTTTGCCAAGTTCACTATACATTCCTTTTCATATAGATTGAGCAGTATTAACTTGTGTACTTTGTTTTACTTGCCATTCGAGTTCTCCAACATGTGTTTAATAGTTGAGATATCTTTTCAATCGAGTTTATTTATTCTATTTTACTGAATTGCCTATCATGATGTAAAGTATAAAAGCACTTCTAAAAAAAAACAAGGTATGTGTACTTACCAAGCAATTGAGAAACATTGAAATTCTGGAATGTAAACCTCATTTGTTTGATTAACTTAATATGGGGAGTGGTTAGAACCTCGTTTGGAGGTGTTTATATCAACAACAGCCAGTTGTATAATTCAAATAAAGGAATGTCTTGATCAAGTGCCAAAACTACTTCTTAACTCTTCCGGCTAGTAAGAATTATTATCCGACATGGAACCAAGTGCATACCTAAAAGGTACCTGTACATGGGTACAATACATGTTGTCAGGATTTAATGTAAGATGTACATGTATAAAGTGTACTTTGGCTGAAAAAATTATTGTCTAAACTAGTTACTCATAGGACATAGTGTTATCCGTTATGTATCAGTCAGCACTGAAAGAGTAAAATTAGTATAATATTGTAATATACGTATTTAAAGATGTCGGCTGAAAACAAAAGAATGTTTGAAAGAAGTTTATTAACTTTGTGGTAAATCGACCTTTCTCAGAGTATAGGAATCTTTGAAAAGGTTTTTCATGTCGACTGCGTTGAGTGAAGAAAAGAGTCCAGATCTCAATATTGTGTGTTTATGCCTTTGTTTTTTTCCGAAATACTCTAAAATGTAGAAATTCACCTGATAACAGGACGTGTATGAATGAATGATACATGTTTTTGTTTCCAGCACCCAATGATATGCAGCTGTTTAATTTTGTAAAATTTCGTATTCACCAAGATTTAGCAAGATATGTGATTATTTTGTTCAATTAGTTTATTTTTGTATCGAATATGATAGTATGACAAAGAACTGTCATAAAGTAATATGTTTTGTTGATTTGCATTATGCTCAACCAAGCTAGCTGAAAGGGAGAGATAAATCCCCATAAAACAGCTAAGTTGCTAAATATTTTGTACTTATTTACCTTGAAATTTAAATATACGAAATATATCTTTATACCAAAGTATTTGTCAAAACATATATTTGCAGGAAGTACTGCTCCTAAAGAGAGTCTAACACAAAGCTTATTTTGTAACATGGAATTTCAATTTCAATAAATTGATAATATTGGACATTATTCCTGAAAGAACATACATATTTTTATCTTCTAGCAAAGCCAAAGGTTGTGCCTTATATAGTTTAAAAGAAGGAATGATATTAGAATGTTCATTGTTCTTTCCTTGATGTATGGAAATTTAACGTTGATAGAAAGAAAAAAAATGTTAACTCCAAGTGCGAGGATATTTGTAAAGTATAAAATATATTGTTAATGTTAATACTGCAACAAAAGTATGTGAAATATTAGGTGAGGTATCCTAAAAGTTTGTTTTTTTTAATTTAGTTTTGCATCATCAAATCTGATGTGATACTGTTCCCAAGATTTGCAGGAATTTTCTACATTAAGCAAATGATGTATTTGTTTTTAAGAGGTGAATTTACTAATTAATTTATCTTCTCAAGCAGTTCAATAGGTGAAAAAAGAAACATTGAATTAAAAGGAATATCTTTGATTTGCAGACCTAAATATGAGCAGTTTATGTTTACTTGTAATAATTTGAGATTCTTCAAAGAGTTCAATAACAGCAATTTTTTAACCTTTTACTGCTAAAGAGAAAGTAGTTGGCTATTTTCTGTATATAGATTATAACTTGTAACATGTAAATCTTCCTTCATATTTGTCTACTGCTCCTTTTTTAAAAGCCAAATGTCTTTTAAAGACAAAATATTTTGGTTTAGCTTAAAAAAACATTTAAAAATAGTTTTGTCCATTTAAGAGTTTCAAGCAACGATCTGTATTTGAGCATTATTCATTTGTTTTTTTAGAGAAAGTAAAGCAACTTCATACTTTTCAGCTCAAATGAAAGCTGGTGAAATGAACATATTTTAATATTTTAATCATTTAACAGACTACAAAGGTTAAGGTCAAAGGTTAATTGTCTCTTGGATAGATAATTTAGGTTACTTTGCATTTGGTAGCATAAAAAGTATGCAATTTTAAAACTAATTTCTTGCGCTTGAGGCCTTTTTAAAATATCCTTTTTTATAGGAGAGACAAACTTGAAACAATATAATTTAGAAAGGTCTAAAGAAAGGACAAAAATATTAGAGAAACTAATTTGACAAAAAAATATGGTCAAAGTTAAAAATGTGAGGTATAGACATGAAAATGGTAATGCACTAAATGCTTTTTGTTTTGTTTTGTTTTGTTTAAATGGATATTAATGCATTTTTATCATGATTTATGACAAACTAGATTTTAAAGAATTAGTTTGTCAATTCTCCTCTTGTGTTCAGTGTGTTGTTTTTAATTAAGTCTTCCTTTGATTCTGATTTTAGTAGTCACCTTACACTTTAAACAAGTCTTGATCCTGTTTCTGCCATTTCCAGTTCACATATTGTGTTCTTGGGGAGCTATTAATTCAATCTTTGATTTTGGAGAGAAAAAAAAATGCTCAGAAATTGTAAGATGCATTCAACATTTTGTTGTCCTAACCATATTTATGATAAATAATATATTTTGTTAATCTAAAGAGGAAATCAAGTATTTTATTTACTTTTTCCACATATAATTCAAAACAAAAAATATTAGCCAAGTACGTAGCATAACTTTCTTACTGAAGATGTAAAATATTTTTTACTTCACAGTTTTTTAGAATACCAAATAACAGCAGTTACTATAAAAATCCTTTCCAATTTGAAAGACATTTTACCTCGTGGTGAGTGACTGAAATTCACATCACTTGTCCTGGCCTTGGGTTAAATTACACTTGCACAAACTATGGCTACTCTTATGCAATGGAGGAGTTGTTATTTCTTACAGCTTTATTCTTTAATGTATTCTTTTACACATACATTATATAGGGTTGATCTATTTTATGAATCTTTAAAACTTTTTATATTTATGTTTTATTATCTCATTTTTCAAATTTCCATAAGGTAACATTTCTATATGTATCACTGCATATAGCAGATAAAGTATATTTTGTTGTAGAGCTTCAACAATTTTTTCCCAGAAATTTTTGAACTTTTGAGCTTAACTTAATGGCAAAAAAACAACAGGCCAAGTTTTAAAACTTTAAAAGTGTACAGATATTTGTATCTTTAGCTTCAACTTTAAACCTTGTATTTTGAGAAAGAAAAATATAGAAATACCAAACAAAATAAATTTATTATAAAAGTCTTTTTCCTTTTTGAGAAAATGGCCCCAAAAATGTGAAAAATGTTGAAAGTGTTTAAAAATAAAGACTGTTCATGATGGAAGCATAAAAAGAGTGTTAGAAAAAGTTGATGAGGTATAAGAAATGCCATACAAAGTTATATTCTTTGGAGAAAATGGCCCCCAAAATGAGAAAATTATCTAAAGTTGATGGAAAAAACAATATATTCTTTTAGAGAAAATCGCCCCTCAAATGAGAAAATTATCAAAAGTTGGCGGAAAAAACAATGTTTTATACTTGAAACTTAAAGAAAGTATTTAACAAAGTTCTTAAGTTTTATTTAATTTTGGTTGTGGTCAGAAATATTCCCTATGTGCCACATGAAGAGATTTAAAAGCAAACTTTGATTACCTTATTACTTTGGTAAGAAGAAAATAAATAAAAACTTTGTATTGTAAACATTCTTTTCTTTTCTTTCTCCTTAAAGGAAGTCAGATTCATTTATTTCTCTAAAATAATGTAAGATTGACTGCAAGGTAGCATTACTCAACAAAAATGTATTATTAATTATTGCATACACAGATGTATTATTCCACATTATTTTAGTCATACGTTATGCTACTTTCACTTTACTGTAATCAATCTAAAATAAGCTTGTGGCTTTCAAATTCTGAATCACAAAACTGAAAATTTAGCCTTACAGTTTTTATTTTTTGTATTAAAATTGTGCGTATTTCTTTATATTCTCAAGGATGACAATGCAAAAGAAGTATCAAAATGTAGGGTGTATTTCAGTTTTCATTTGTTTGTGATTAAATGAGATCTAAAAAAAAATCAGGTTTCCAATATCATCATACCTGCAGACATTTCATTTATTTAATGTTATTTAATCAAATATTGCAAGCTGTGCCTTTTTTGTAGCAACCAGCAATTATACAAACAGGGTATGCTTTCCATTGATGAAGAAAGATTGTGGTGCTACTTGTGTTTCATTGTTTCTCTCACAATAAAAAAGTGGAGTACCGGTATATGCAATGTAATATCTATGAAACAGTGTAGAATCTGAAGTATAAGTAAAAACAAGGGGTTTGAAATTTACATGCTGGAAACAAAACAAAGAAAGAAGAACATTGTTTATTACATTATTAATTCATTTATTTAATAAACTTTGTTTAGCAATATTTTTTTGTCAATGCATTTATGAAATTATTAGCTTGGACTATTTTTCCTTACAAAGAAAAGGTAATACACATTGTTGGTCGAAGTCTTAGATTTGGGTGAAATGTCTTTTCGTAAATCCATTCAAACTTTACCAACACTGTGCATTATGTAATATTTGTGTGCCAATATTTGTGTACCAAAGATCGATTAGTGAATGTACTCTAGCTATCTAATTATATTCTCTTTATGGTAGTAAATACATTACTTCTGTTAGTTAGTAATAGTTCATTTGACAGTTCAATATTAGCCTTTTTCATTTATTGTGTTGATAACAGTTGCTAACAAAATGTTTTACATGTAGTATGTGGAATACAATTCAACTCAATTGGTGTAATATCAGAGTTTGAACAATGCAACGTATTACAGAGTGAACTGAACTACTTTTATCATTGTTAGAATTGTTATAGTGTTTCATGAAATTGTTTTATGAACATGTGTACATGCATATCTTATATATTTTTAGATAATCTCATTATCAATGATTCATTGTAATTTTTCAGCATTACATACCAATTTATATATTGAGATGTAGTTTTGTTTAGATATTAGATCAGTTCTTCAATTTCAGCTTATTTTATATTAGTGTTAGTCTTTCATTTCAATATTTCTTCTTCACATTTTGTTCATACTATTTTAAGCATTCAATTCCTGTTTTAAAGGAGAAAAAGAAGTTATGAAAAAATATGTGCAAAGACCAGAAGACGTGTTGAGACCCTGTTTATTTGTACACTGTAGTTGAAGAGTTATATATTTCAAGAGGAAAAGAGTACGTTTTAATGGACAGTCTGTATAAGGGTGAGAAGAACAGAGAGGGAGAGAAAGAGAGGGAGAGAGATAGAGAGAGGGGGGGGGGGGTATGCAGAGAGTGTGAGAGTCAGGATTTTTGCTATCCCAAATTCAAAATTTCAGCTTCTAATAATACTCAAAATAAATATTTTGGTCAAGTTTTCAAGTTTCAAAGAGAAGTTGTCAACAGAGAAATTGCCCATTGGATATTGGAGAAATTATGCTCTGATACTCGTCCTGGGCAAGACATTAAACTGCATCCCTGGGTCATCGCCCGTAAAGGTGTAGCACCCAGTAAGCTCCCCTAGACAGGGATACACCATGGCTGAACATTTGTGGGTATTGCAAATGGGGAAACTACAAGTTTGATGTGTGTAGTTAAAGTCTGAATCCGATGGCCGGGGTAATAATATGATTGCAGGGCCCTCAAGGAGAACAGTATGAATACTGATAAGGCTACGCTGGGTAAACTAGACATTATTATTAATTAGTATTTTTAATTTCTGCATCCATCTCTCGCTCTCTCTCTCTCTCTCTCTCTTTTGCTTTTCTCACTTTGATAAGTAAATGTAGATTATGTTTTTTTAAATTACTATTATGTGATATTAAGGCCAATTCCGTATTCATCAATAGATCAACAATATGACATCAATGTCTTGCAGGAAGTAAATTTAAAACATAACTTGGGATGCACTTTACATACAACATCACCAATCCCAGCACCGAGAAAAATTATAGTACGTATATGATCACTACTAGTCTAGTAGAGCAGGGTTCACTGGGTACTCCACTCGGAGAACACATCTTAGCCATGCAGAGTGGTCATTTCAGACCATTACATTTATCATTAATGTATAACTTTTGTTTCTTCATATATGATATAATAGTGTGTGAATAAATACTATGCTCTTCCAACCTTAATTGATTTGTGTTGCCTTCTTCATTGATCGACTCCCTCCATCCTAAATAGTTACTGTAACTACAAGTAAGAAAATCAAAAAGTAGAGCATGCCTGTACAATAAACATGCAAGTACACGTATTATGTGATTTCTTTTTAAATTGGCATTTGAAATATGTGCCCCGGCCCCTTTTCCTCTCATTCTCTCTCCCTTTCTGTCACTCCTTGATATCTTTCTTGCCCCCTCCTTTTGTCTTCTTCTAATATCTAATTTCACAAGTACCCCAGAGTAAATCATGGTCTTGAAACTAAAATTAATGGATATGTGCTTTTTTTTTTTTTCTTCTTTTTCAGCATGTGCATCCTCCCTCCCCCCCCCCCCCTTTCGCTTTTTTGTTTTCCTCTCTCCTGTTGCTCATTATCATCCTAATCTACCTCCTCTTCTCTCGTAACTTCATGCCAATTAAAAAAAATCCAGTACCCCCAAGTAGATCATGGTAAAACTGAACATAAATATCAATGACTTGGTAATCAATCAATGCTTCTATTTAAGAAATATTTATTTATACAACATAAAATTTCTTCACATGGTCATTTGACTGTCTTCATGCACCTCCAAATGTCTCTGATATAAAATTTGAGAAGTTAAAGCTGGATTTGAAGAAAAAAATGGTCCACAAAAATTAGTAATCAGTACTTGCTTTACTATGAGAAAACAAAGTTTTTGTGCAATTAAAGCAAAATGTACCAGCAGCATTTGCAGCTCTATTGAACAGCCAATTCATTTTCTATTAAACGGATTTACTACATGAACAAATCACAAACCAAATCAATTAAAAAAAAACTGATTTCTTCTGTGTCGTCTATCATTTTTTTTTTAAAGGGAGTAGTTGTTTAACCAGGAAACCTTCCAAACCAAAACGTAGTTTCTTAAATATGACAATTGTAACTGAGTAAAACCTATGAGAAACCTGAGGCAAAGTGGATCTTGGTAGATTACTCTATATAAGTTTTCTTTTCCCGCAATCTTTTATCTTCATAACTATTTTGATAAATGGTATGCTAGAAAAACAAGTTCAAATCAAAGTCTTGGATATTTCATAAGATTTGAAATATTTTCCACACAGGGTCAAGAGAATGTTCACATTCATTCTTTATGGAATGAAGCTAATTGTTGAGAAGCCAAGGAATATTTGTATAAAATGGTTTACTTGGTACTCCACTTGGAGAACACATTTGAGTTCTGCAGAGGTCATTTCAGATCATTGCATTTAACGTTGATGTACATCTTTATCTGTTTCTTAATGCATGATATATAATATGAGTAAATGCTATGCTCTTCCAACTGTAATTGTTGCGTGTTGCCTTCTTCAGTGATCGACTCTCCCTATACTTGTACTAAAGAAGTACTGTAACTGTAAAAGATCTTAAATATACACTGGACCGCTCTCCTGACCAAAGTCCTAAGATTCTCCCTTGGTGTTGCATCAAAGTATCCTGCTCAATAGTCCTTGTAGTGTTTTAACCTATATAGAGAGAAAATGATAAGACGATATAATACGAGAGTGATGTTTAGGGGTTACATCGGTAATAGATCCTTGGCATGAAACTTGGCCAAGGTGTGCTAGTTCTTTTTGATGAGCAACCATCATCAACTAGCTGATTAGTGTAACTTTAATTTTCTTGCATGATGCACTAGCCCCTACATACTATACTACATATATTTTCAGGCAAAACGACCTAAAGGAAATGTGTGCTATTATTAAAAGTGGTCCAACTTGAATTACGCAATCTCAAAGAAAATACTTGGCACTTATATATCTTCTGGTTGCTGATTATACTTCCAAGGTTATTTCCTGTCCTAACGTCTTCTTTTCCCCTTCATTTTTTTTGATCATCTACCAACCAAATAATGCTAGTATGATATAAAGCTCATTACACAAATTCAATGAACATGTAAGATCACTTTGAGAATTTTTTCACTCTGCAATTATATCGACCATTTTTTTTGTCTTCCTAAAGTCTTGTAGTTAATTTCAATAAATTCATTAAACAGTTAAAGATGGAAGACAGATACTGACCTGAATAGAGGGACTTCCCCCTTATTGTTGCCCAGAGCAAAGTAACCACTCCTAGGGGAGAATTCTAGAGCACAGGGTGAACGCAGAACTTCATTGGATGAAGGGAAGTTTGCAAAAGTGTGGCACGATGGTAGATGAATCTAGACGGGAGAAAATGTCAAAGAAATTTATCAAATATATCAAAGTCACAAATTACATTATTGTAATGAAGGAAAGACAATCTAAACAAAAGATATGATTTTTTTTAAAGAGATTAATCACTACATAATATTAAAGAAAGATGTGAATTCATCCTATTGAAAAATCAATAGCTAGTTGGTGGGTGGGGGTACACTCATTTATTATCACACTCTCTGTTCCTCTTCTCTGATCATAACATGCATATAATTATTAAATGGCTATTTAGGAACAAGCAGTGTTTACTAATGGACCTTGATACACTTGGTTCTCATTCCAAGAGTCTGGCATTTCAGGATGATACATCCCAATGGTAAATTCTCAACAATTTATGTTATAGGGTGATAGATACATAAATACATACTTTCAACCTGAAAAACTACTATTTTACTAAGGTGCACCGGTGGTAAACAAGAACATGGAGCACAAAATGTCTTATGACATCATTTGAATCGATGGTGTTTGGAGAAATGAACAAGGAAATTTTTGTATGGTTATTCTTGAAAGAAATTCTTTGGGCCACTTACCAACTTGACAACATCCCTTGAGTAGACCGAGATGGCAGCTAAGATCTCATTGTTCGAGTTGAATCTGGTTGCTGTGACAGGTGTGGTCATGTTCATGACCGCCTTGAGAGGGGTAGGGTGTACCTTGGTCAAGCACTGGTCATCGTAGATGTTTATCACACCACTCTGTGAGCTGGTGAGAGAAGGGGGATGTCACTGGTCAGTCCATTAACCTGCTGACTACTGAATTATTTCATACCCATTGGCTTTTATACAGGAATCACCCAGTTCCAATGAGCAATGGGTTAAGTGATAATAATATACAAATGATGCATGCAAGTACACGAGTCCATTAAACAATCTATTTGCCTTTAAGTTGAGGATGTGTGCATCTATCGTATGCAGCCATCGGGTTGAGTATGATAGATGCATATACAGCCTAAACAAGAGTGGATAGATTGTTTAATGAACAAATGAAAACATGCCTCAATTGTTTTATACAATGAAACTCTTAGATCCTTGTTGCTTCATATGATATATGTTGCTTGATATAAATATATATATTTATTGACTAAGGTACTAATGACATGTAATTTACACCTAAAAGCTGCAGAAACAATAGTTCACATCTTTTAAAAATGTGTTACACCTAAGATATGGAGATTTTACCCAAAAGGAGAAAAAAATGCATTCAGGGAATGTTATGGTTTTTAAGAAGCTTAAACCAGTGCATTTATAATTTCAGGTTCATTCTCCTCGAAAAATTTGTTATCTTTAAAAAAATCATAACTTTCTTATTAGTTATCCGATTTTGCTCAAACTTTTTTGATTGGTTTGTCTGATTTTTCTGCTTCTATTGAAAGTAATTTATTTTTTGGAGTGGACTTCCTCTTTAAATCTCTGAACTAATATTGCTCTTTCATAACTATTGCAAGAAAAGATAAACTTTTTAGGTTGATAAGTGTACCAGGCAACCTTGATATTACCTTACTGATTGTTGCATCAGAAATAATGTACTTCTTTCGCTATATGGAGTCACAGAAAGACAACTTTAACTGATACGGAAAAGAAAGTTCTCTTACCCAGTTGCTACATATCTGTTTCCTTGCGACACTGATATTGTATTGCCTTTGATGCATCCATCATCAGCAAACTTGTGAACACAGTCTCTTGTGTTCATGTCCCATACATACACATCACAGTCGTCTATATAAGGAGAACATTGTATGAGACGCAAGTCAAAACAGGGGAACTTGGGCAAATGACACTGCCATAAAAGATGGAATTGGACAACAGTCTCTTTAATATGGTGTAATGTGTTTATTGTAGATTTAGACTTCTTGTGTAAATTGTTTGTTTAAATAGATGCTCTGAAAAATGGATTTTGCTTTCATAATTAAACATAACATGATGCTAGTGAGGTTACCTTGCATTAATCCCCTACAGTCGGGTAAAATTACTAATTTGCTCTCTTATGAATTAAAAAAAAAGAAGTGATGAACGAGAAGAGAGATCCAAGGGTTACGGTGATTAGATTTGCTTTTCCCATCCCAGGCAGAGGTGACACTGAATACTTAATAATAATTACGGAATACCTAATAAGAGGAAGAGGAAGACCAGAGTGGATAGGAATATCTTACCTCCAAATGACATCATCTTTGATCCATCTGGTGTGAAAGTGACTGCATCAACGGTACCATTCATTTTAAGGGTTGTAATCAATTCCTTTGTCTAATAAAAAAAGAGAGAGATGAAATAATAACACGGGCAATCACATTTACCGGGAAATCCAAACTTGGTACCAAACTACTCTAGAAGAAAGGAGAAAAAGCTATAAAATCAATGTACCCAAGTGCCATAAACCTTAAAATGGAAGAAGATTTTTGTCACATTTTATTTTGGAAGATCCCAAAGTCTTCTTGCAATTAGGACATTGATTAGCTATCTATGTAGTGGTGGTTATTTTACCCGACTGGTAAGAAAGCATAAATGCTTGTTAGTAAGCAACCAGACGGCTGACGGCTTTAAGTCCTCTCCGAGAGACCGGGTAGTGAGGACTAATGCTTTACCAAAGGGCACTAGCGCATCACCTTGATTTCGAATCAGGGTCACCGGATTACGAGACCACTGCTCTACCAACTGAGCTATCGCGCCTCCACGATATAGAAATGCATCCTAAATTCTGAAATGGAAGTTTTCTCCTCTCTGAAGTGTGACCATTTTTTGCCTTGCAGCAATATTTCCATATATATATATATTTGAAGAAGGCCTTTTCACCCACATATCTTTAGAGTCCCTGTGACGTTTTTATTTCTCAAGATACTTTGAGAGTATACATTTCTCATTTGTCTTCAAGTAACTTGGGTTCAGCTACTCCACACAAAAAATATCACTGGGGGGTGTTTCACAAAGATCCTAAGTTGAACTGATCTCTAAGTTGGGCTTAAAAAATTATGGAAAGCCGTTAGCATCTATGTGAATGTTTTGTAAAAGTTATTTTAAGAGGCATAAAATGTTGATTTGAATCATTCAATGATTTCTATTATCAAGGAGATTTCAGGGTCTTGATGTGAAATTCATAAAAAGTCAAAAATATTTGAATTTTCACTATTGGATATATTTTATTTTAAGGCTACAAATGGCTCTCCATAACTTTTAAGTCCAACTTGGAGTTAAGTTCGACTTAGGATCTTTGTGAAACACCCCCCAGGTTAGGCAGGGATATCTTACCTGAGCAGATAGGAGATGAATGTTTCCATAGTCGCCCAAGAATGCCAGAAACTTCCCATCTGGAGATACCTCAAAGCTCATTAACTTGTTCTCCTGAATACCTGGTTGTTGAATAACACACACAGTACATGTATCATTGATCGATTCCAGACTAGCACCACAATACAATCCTGGCTATTTAATAATATTCATTTACAATGTAGTAGCTTTATAACGTACCAATTGTGATTTTTTATAGATGTGATATATATGATACAATTTAAATCTTCTTCAGACACTTCTTCTTATCTTATCTTACTCTTCTTTTCAAAGTTGAAAGCTTATCTTTTTTGGAAATGCTTGACATAAATACAGCACTTATTGAGACTTATGTTTCACTTCTATTTTTCAACTTTTTTTGATGGTGTACCTCAATAAGAACTTCTAGAATATAGATGGACCCTACCATACAAATGCTTTTCATTATTATTAACATGCAGATGAGCGAACTCCAGATCACTGGAATGTTTTTACGTTGCATGGTTTCTTGGACTACAGTTACTGAGGTGTTAACATTAAGACTAAGCCATACATATTTATCAGAAAATATGGTATTATTATTATTGTTATTATCATTTTTCTTCTTCTTTTTGTACTTCGTCTTCGTCGTCTTCTTCTTTTAATTATCATTCATCTTGCTTACCTCTGATATATGGTATCTGTGAAACCTTGCCAGCTATCATGTCATAGATGTAGAAGAATTTCCTCTTGCCACTGAGGACAACCTCTGTTCCTTGAGATGCAAAGTGAGCACAGTGGATGGGAAACTGCTCCACAAAGACACTCTGAATCTTAGGATTGTGTCTCCCTTCAACCTAGCAGAATGACAAGAATAAACTCTCTCATAGCGACAAAACTGACATGCTAATGACCTAGTATCTAACCTTGAAATAATTTTGCTTTCAGTGCAAAAACGGACACATTTTGTAAGTTATAAAACTTAGACAAATTTCCTTTTGTTCTATCAACAGAATATTCCTTTTCCCAATATTTTTTTATTTTCGACAGAGGAAAAGACTAGAAATATTAGACAATGCATGAGTAGAAGAGAAGCATGCAATAATGATAGAAATCTATCTTAATAAACACTGTGAAAACAATTATATATGGCTCTTGAAAAGCTTTTTAAAGAGCACAATTCTAAAAAATAATGTTTGAAAAATAGAGTCCTTGAATAGCACAGCAATTAATTAAATTGTGTGTTTTTCTGACTTTGTATGCACCATTGCCTAGGGACCCTGAAATTTAGGTACCATACACTCGAGGTAATGCCTTCTAAAGCCATATAGAGAAAAATGCAGTATCAGAAACTCACTTGAAATAAATTCAACCTCTGATCCAGACCTGCTACCATGGCAACTTGAGCTCCTGGATGAAACTCTAATGCAGTCACCATGCCCTGAAAAATAAACAAAATTTAGAAAATATTAAGGGTGTATTTCTTTCTATAATGTTCAGAGATAACTTGCTATAATAAACATTCTACTAACTACACCTTTTTTTTTGGGGGGGGGGGGGGTAAACATAACTGCATTAGTTTGAACACATTGGCATAAGTATGCATTTCATTTTTATACAAGTTCCTGTTACTTGACATTGTCTATTAGTAGAGCTAGTTGGGGGATCTTGGCATCAGTTTGAACAAACTGATACCCTAGGTATAGTTGGTATAACATTATCACTTGCCACCTCCATCTGGTACCTATTTGTATCAGTCAATACTGGCTTAGCAGTTGAAATTAATAGGCAAGAGATCAGAAGGCACTTGTGAATATATGTAGACCTTTCATGTTTTACGGTTAGTCCTGGTCGGTACTGGATGGTACTGCTTGTATCCTGTTAGCACTAGTTGAAACCAGCTGATGCTGACTACCTTGGGCCATGCCATTAGCAGTCAAGACATATATCAGAAGGCACTCTTGGGTACATGTACATGTACCATTTGTAATAGATTGGGACTGGTTGGTCCTGGGCCCGTTGCATAAAATTTAGTATTGAAAGTAACTTTTGCCATTAAAAGTAACTTCCATGGAAACCTTGTTGTTGAGTGATGTTGTCAGGGTAGTTACCATCAATGGTATAGTTTTATGCAATGGGGGCCCTGGCTGGTCATGACTAGTAAGCTGTGCACTCACGAGTGACTCACCTCTGTTGGTTGTTCTTTGTTGAGGTTGGTCAGTCTCTTGATGTTCAGGTTTACTGAGGGAAGCATCTCTGAGGTGGTCAAGTAGTCACCTGTTCTCCTCAAGAGAGGGTGGTCATCGTCTTCCTCATCATCCTCGCTTTCATCACTGCCTGCTTTACATATCAAGGAACGAGAGATAAATGTAGATTAATAATGTAACCCTTTCACAATATTAGTCGGCTTAAATTGCTCAATATTGATAATGCATTAACTATTGCTGGACAATGGACAGCAGGTCTTCTACTTGAATTTTCAACATCACAGACTCATAAATTGTAAAGTTAGATGTCAAGGAATAGTACTCGTATCAAGAGGAACAATGGAATAGGGCACTAACCTGGAAAATTTGTCTGATAAAACATAATTTTTAAATACAGATTTATAAACTTGGGAACACAATAATGAATTGAATGGGTAACAATTGGTCCAACATACAAAATCATCAGATTTCAATGTGTGTATTGACTAGATTGCTAAATTCAATCATCAAATGATAACATTTTCATTATTTATAATTCATTCAAAATTCAAATTTCTGGATATTTACATATAATGTATGTACATTAAAAAGGCATATTAGCTTGGACTATCTTGCACTAAATATTCTTCAAAACCTACCATCCTTTTCTCTTTCTGATTTCAACTTTGCCCATGATGGAGTACTGCCGACTACTTTTTCATACCTGAAGAAAAGAAACATTTTCAGGTAAAGGAAGACATTAAACCAAACGACTGAAAAAAGTATTATGCTCTGGCTAGTAGAGATAATTAATATTCATATCATTCATTTCATGCTGATTTTAGATTCCATGACAAGTAAAAGGAAGACACAGGACAAATATGTACAAAACAACAGTATCAGGATACCGTCCTCATGAATAGTTATTTGTTAACACCCATCACATCACATCACCCTTCGTCACAAGAATTTATCTGTGACAAAGTATTCCAAATTCAAATGTATCGTAGATATGTTAACATTGAATTGATAAATTACATCAATTATTTTACATTTCTGGGACATTGATTTGCCCGACTTACTGTGACTTCAATCTTTCTTGGAGTTGATGACCGCTTACTTCCTTCTCTGCTCTCCTTTGTATCTTCTGTTGTCTGAAGGTCTTCTCCTGATCAAAGCTATTAAGAGGACAAACAAAATGGGTTATTAGGTTATTTTACCAAAAATATTCACTCTAAACAACTTTTTGAAGAAAACAACTAAGAAAGGCAAAATTTACATATGGGCATTTTTTCCTTTCCCTCTTCACTTGGTACTTGGTTGGGTAATCCCTTTGGCAGCTCACTCAGGAAGCTATACTGGGATGGTATCAAAGTCAAACATTGTAATCATAAGTCAGCCGGTGTTTTCACTCAATGTTGCAATACTTAATGTCCATGTGTAAATGCCTGCTGGATATTAAACTTGTGAATGCAAAGCTCGGATATCTAGAGGAGATGCAATCTGTAGACAAGTCACACGACTGTGCATCAAATGAAATTAATGACCTTTACCAAGACATTAGTCTATAATCTTCACTCTCAACCCAGATGAGGTAGATGGTTGCATAGGAGTTAAAGATCGAAATGGTGTCACAGCACAGAAATAATGCACTGTAAAGAAATATTTTCTTGCCTTAACTGCACTTCATCTGTGTCATCATGCCATGCTGGTTTCTTCTTCCCTTTATCCAGAGAACTTTCAGTGGCCTGGAGTCTACTCTGAATTTCTGTAGAAACATCATCATCTTTAGCAGGGTCCTGTTTAGGATTTTCATATAATGAAAAGATTACGAATTTATCAGTACGAGAATACACCCGACGGTGGCCTGTACTTATAGCGAAGAAGAAGAAGAAGAATTTGATTGTAAACAAAATGGCTGTGATACGTGATTGTACAGCTTTGCACCGCCGCCTCTAACACTAAGTAAATCATAAATGTGCGGCTTAGATCTACTTTGAATCATTGGTTCATCGCGATCGCGTCCAGTCGGGGGGTCGCTTTACACGACTTTTCGTGAAACAAAAGATCCCGATCACACATCCTTTCATAGACTTGCTGTAGGGTTTTCTCAAACTGTCGCGTAAATCAGACCAGACCTGACCATTGATTTGTTGTAGATGAGAGGGGCTTTTTTCACAAACATTACCCCCGACACTTTGTAAATTTTGAACAAAAAAAGTCAAAAGGTCGGGTAACGCGACCACTTGATCCGACACGATGACGCAACAGTCACGTCATGTTATGATTGTAGTCTAGATCTGTATCATTTCTCTTCCTATAATCCTTTATATCTTTCTTTCCTCCTTTTTTTCTCCTTGCAACTCCTTTTCTCGTTTTAATTGTCCTTATTAATCTTCTGATCTTACTCTTACTAGATCGAATTCTTCTTCTCTCTTCACAGTTCACTCTTGATTCTTTTTTTCACCTTCTTCCATCTTCATGAGACATGACAAACTTGATAGATCATCAATAAGTTGACGTTTTAAAATTTATAAATGATCACTTACCTCTTCAGAACCAGAGTGTGGGTCTAGCTCGACAGCTTCTTCTTCTTCAGATTCAAAAATAGGATCTTCAATGTCATTTCCGAACACTAAATTTTCGAGCAATATTTCAGAAGATTCTTTTCGTCTAGATTTCATTTTACTGCCTAAAACGTGATGTGTCGCTTCAGTTTCCCCATCATTCGTTTTGATATGTTTGCTCTTAGACGTCGTTGTGCTTTGTACACGTCTTTTTCGAGCTTCACCTTGCATAATGAGAGAAAATTTACTCACAAATTATTTCGAGAACGGAGCAGCCAATATAGTTTAGCACAACAGCACATTTGGAAACGTATGGGACTAAAGTAACCTTTCCACACGTACACAACACAACACATGGGTGTCAACCTACGCCCCAGGAAAATGTGTGCAGGTCTTTAGAATCACCTAACCTCGTTACCGAACAGGGCAATACGTTTTCGTTCAATCACACACAGTGGATCATATTCTCATTTTAAAATAAAGTCAATTGCACATCTCCTTTATTTGGTGTACATGCCCCTCAATCAGTGGCGGATCCAGGGGGGGGGGGGGGGGGGGGGGGGGGGGGGGGCCGGGCCCCCCCCCTTGAGAAAAAAAAAATCATGTAAAATCACGTGATTTTTACCTTTTTTGGGGGTTGGGCCCCCCCCCTGGCGCTCAAGGGGGGGGGGGGGGGGTGCAAATTGAATTTTTTTTTGAGGATCAAAAAAAAAAAAAAATGTGCTCACTACCCCTCCACCCCCCCCCCCCCCCCCCCCCCCCCCCCCCCCCTCCCCCCCACTGAGCGAATTTTTGGCCGGAGCGTTTTTCAAATTTTCGGGAGAAAAAAAAAAAAAAAAAAAAAAAAAAAAAAAAATGTGCTCTGTACCCCCACCCCCCCCCCCCCCCCCCCCCCCACTGAGCGACTTTTCGGCCGGCGCGATTTTCAAATTTTCGGAGGCAAAAAAAACAAGAAGAAAGTTGGGCCCCCTCCCCTAAGAAATCCTGGATCCGCGCCTGCCCTCAATCATTCCCCATACTTTTCTAGATAGTGAAAGCTTATTATATGTTATTGATATTTCAATTGAGCATGTTTATATTGTCTTATCTTAATTTTTATGGGCTTTCATCGAAAGGGTGCGGTGCGGTGCGGCGCGGTGTGGTGTGCTCAACGCACCCATTCGATAAAAGAGGGGGGGGGGGGGGCTTTTCTCGAAAGGGTGCGTTGAGAGCGGAGTACCGTTTTAACACACCCTTTCGATAAAAGCGGGGGGGGGGGGGCTTTTCTCGAAAGGGTGCGTCGACTAGTCTTTCGCATCAGTCGTTTAAAATGAGGATCTGGGACAGAAGGTAATAGTTGCCAATTTAAGTATATCGAAAATGTATTAAATAAAATGGAATGGTCTTGATTACAGAGTGGTCTCTTTCGTTATTACTATGTTGATGGGGGAGACAGAGAGAAGGAAAAAAGGGAAAGGGAAAGGGAAGATAAAAGGAAAGAAAGAAGAATAAGAAGAAAAGAGGGAAATAGGGGGGGGGCGAAGGGCTCTTGCCTCCTCCTTATCCCCCCCCCGCCCAAAAATAAATAAGAGGAGAGAGAAGGGAAAGGGAAAGAAAATATAAAAGGAAAGAAAGAAGAGGAAGAAGGAAAGAGGGAAACGGGGGAAGGGCGAAAGGCTCTTACCTCCCCCCCCCCCCCGCCAAAAAAATAAATAGGAGAGAGAGAGAGAGAGAGAAGGGAAAGGGACAGGGAAAGAAAATATAAAAGGAAAGAGGAAGAAGGAAAGAGGGAAACGGGGGAAGGGCGAAAGGCTCTTACCACCCCCCCCCCCCCCCGCCAAAAAAATTAATAAGAGAGAGAAGGGAGAGGGAAAGAAAATCTAAAAGGAAAGAAAGAAGAGGAAAAAGAATAAGAAGAAAAGAGGGAAACGGGGGCGAAGGGCTCTTGCCCTCCCCCCCGCCAAAAATAAATAAGAGAGAGAGAGAGAGAGAGAGAGATTTGAAAGCGAAAGGGAAAGAGAATATAAAAGGAAAGAAAGAAGAGGAAGAAGAATAAGAAGAAAAGAGGGAAACGGGGGCGAAGGGCTCTTGCCTCCTCCCCCCCCCCCGCCAAAAAATAAATAAAAGAGAGAGAGAGAGAGAGATTGGAAAGCAAAAGGGAAAGAGAAGATAAAAGGAAAGAAAGAAGAGGAAAAAGGAAAGAAGAAAAGAGGGAAACGGGGGCGAAGGGCTCTTGCCTCCTCCCCCCCCCGCCTACAAATAAATAGGAGAGAGAGAGAGAGAGAGAGAGAAGGGAAAGGGAAAGGGAAAGAAAATATAAAAGGAAAGAGGAAGAAGGAAAGAGGGAAACGGGGGAAGGGCGAAAGGCTCTTACCTACCCCCCCCCCCCTCCCGCCGAAAAAAATAATAAGAGAGAGAAGGGAGAGGGAAAGAAAATCTAAAAGGAAAGAAAGAAGAGGAAAAAGAATAAGAAGAAAAGAGGGAAACGGGGGCGAAGGGATCTTGCCCTCCCCCCGCCAAAAATAAATAAGAGAGAGAGAGAGAGAGAAAGATTTGAAAGCGAAAGGGAAAGAGAATATAAAAGGAAAGAAAGAAGAGGAAGAAGAATAAGAAGAAAAGAGGGAAACGGGGGCGAAGGGCTCTTGCCTCCTCCCCCCCCCCCCGCCAAAAAATAAATAAAAGAGAGAGAGAGAGAGAGATTGGAAAGCAAAAGGGAAAGAGAAGATAAAAGGAAAGAAAAAAGAGGAAAAAGGAAAGAAGAAAAGATGGAAACGGGGGCGAAGGGCTCTTGCCCTCCCCTCCCCCCCCCCCCGCCAAAAATAAATAAGAGAGAGAGAGAGAGAGAGAAGGGAGAGGGAAAGAAAATATAAAAGGAAAGAAAGAAAAGGAAGGAAGAAGAAGAAAAGAGGGAAACGGGGGAAGGGCGGAGGACTCTTGCTTCCCCCCCCCCCCCCGCCAAAAAATAAATCAGAGAAAGAGAGAGAAGGGAAAGGGAAAGAAAATATAAAAGGAAAGAAAGAAGAGGAATAAGAAGGAAAGAGGGAAACGTGGGAAGGGCGAAGGGCTCTCGCCTCCTCCCTCCCCACCCCCCGCCAAAAAATAAATAAGAGAGAGAGAGAGAGAGAGAGAGAGAGAGAGAGAGAGAGAGAGAGAGATTTATGTACCAAACATATGGAATACCATTGATTCTTTAAAAAAAAGAGAAAAACATTGGTTATTTGGTCTTGTTTCAAGTTAATGTGTTTGTTTTTGGGTCAAAATAGTTGAATTGTGGTAAGAAATGAAATAAAACAACAAAAACAATATAACACATAAATACAAATTATCAAAACAAGAGATAACATAGGGATAAACTGGCTCTTCCAACTTTGTTGTCGTGTTATTATTCTAACGAATATATGTAGTGAAAAAGAACGCTTGAATATGAATTATATATGATTTATGGGTAAAAATGTGAATTCTCTGACCTTATTGGCATAAATTACCATATATATGGGGGGGAGGGCAAGAGCCCTTCGCCCCCGTTTCCCTCTTTTCTTCTTCTTCCTCTTCTTTCTTTCCTTTTATCTTCTCTTTCCCTTTCCCTTCTCTCTCTCTCTCTCTCTCTTACTTATTTTTTTTGGCGGGGGGAGGGCAAGAGCCCTTCGCCCCCGTTTCCCTCTTTTCTTCTTCTTCCTCTTCTTTCTTTCCTTTTATATTTTCTTTCCCTCTCCCTTCTCTCTCTCTCTCTCTCTCTCTCTCTCTCTCTCTCTCTCTCTCTTATTTATTTTTGGCGGGGGGGGGGGGGAGGAGGCAAGAGCCCTTCGCCCCCTTTTCCGTCTTTTCTTCTTTCCTTTTTCCTCTTCTTTCTTTCCTTTTATCTTCTCTTTCCCTTTCGCTTTCCAATCTCTCTCTCTCTCTCTCTTATTTATTTTTTGGCGGGGGGTGGGGAGGGAGGAGGTAAGAGCCCTTCGCCCCCGTTTTCCTCTTTTCTTCTTATTCTTCTTCCTCTTCTTTCTTTCCTTTTATATTCTCTTTCCCTTTCGCTTTTAAATCTCTCTCTCTCTCTCTCTCTCTTATTTATTTTTTGGCGGGGGGGGGGGGGGGGGGGGGGGGGGGGAGGGCCAGAGCCCTTCGCCCCCCTTTTCCCTCTTTTCTTCTTATTCTTTTTCCTCTTCTTTCTTTCCTTTCAGATTTTCTTTCCCTCTCCCTTCTCTCTCTTATTTATTTTTTTGGCGGGAGGGGGGGGGGGGGGGTACGTAAGATCCTTTCGCCCTTCCCCCGTTTCCCTCTTTCCTTCTTCCTCTTTCCTTTTATATTTTCTTTCCCTTTCCCTTTCCCTTCTCTCTCTCTCTCTCTCTCTCTCCTATTTATTTTTTTTTGCGGGGGGGGGGGGGGGGGAGGTAAGAGCCTTTCGCCCTTCCCCCGTTTCCCTCTTTCCTTCTTCCTCTTCTTTCTTTCCTTTTATATTTTCTTTCCCTTTCCCTTTCCCTTCTCTCTCCTCTTATTTTTTTTTCGGCGGGGGATGAGGAGGAGGCAAGAGCCCTTCGCCCCCCCCCCCGTTTCCCTCTTTTCTTCTTATTCTTCTTTCTTTCCTTTTATCTTCCCTTTCCCTTTCCATTTTTTTCCTTCTCTCTGTCTCCCCCATCAACATAGTATCAACGAAAGAGACCACTTTGTAATCAAGACCATTCCATTTTATTTAATACATTTTCGATATACTTTAATTGGCAACTATTACCTTCTGTCCCAGATCCTCATTTTAAACGACTGATGCGAAAGACTAGTCGACGCACCCTTTCGAGAAAAGTCCCCCCGCTTTTATCGAAAGGGTGTGTTAAAACGGTACTCCGCTCTCAACGCACCCTTTCGAGAAAAGCCCCCCCCCCCCCCCCTCTTTTATCGAATGGGTGCGTTGAGCACACCACACCGCGCCGCACCGCACCGCACCTTTTCTATGAAAGCCATTTTTATTATGTCTTAAAATCTATAATACGTCATATAAAAATATGAGTTTCTGTGTGATTAAATAGAATGCTGTAATATCAACATCAACAGATTATTTTGTGGTATATTCTTTGTGCCATCAATTTCTGCATCAATAGAACAGTTCATTTAAAGGTGGACAAATGTCAACACCTTCATCTTTTGTTTATATATAAATTATGTTCTAATAATGTAATTCAATTCAATGTAATGCAAAGTTTTGGGGAATTTTGAAAATTTGATTGATAGTTCTTTTAAATGTTGAAATATTTGGATGCCCCTGTGGATGTATTATAAGCACTAACAAATTTAGCCCCTAAAACACTTCTACTTTCAAGAGATTGAATAATCAAAATTTACCAGTGCTCCCGGTAAAGGCCATTCCATGAAGTAGCTGCGATCCTGAAGATCTCAGAATATGCAATTCTAATTTCCAAACGGGAATATAAAATTGGTCGATTGTAGTACGTCCGGAAACATTGTTTTAAAGCTAAAGCAATATCCGTCTTGAGAGGGCGCTTTATACAGCATAAAGAGTTTATTATTTACAATTTCATCACTTGAGACTCGATTTCAACAGCGACAACAAGCATTGAATATTGTAAAATCGCATATGCTTCTAATATGTTCATTTGAACCAAATTCATGACCCCAAACCAAATTTGTAATACCTTTAAAGACATACAATATAAGCTTCTCATGGGGAATTTGAGATATCAAGAATTATTTCAAATAAAAGTGAATTCATATCATATTGGCCTATGGAAGGATTGATCATTAGAGATATTCCAATAGACCAACAGCTGAGACCGAAAGTCAACAAGACACACAGCTCATAAACTTGGCAACATAACGTCAAATTCTTCATTACCTCAATATCCAAGCAAAAATCCAAAACCCAACATTCGATTGATTACTAGATTTTGTCAATGACAAATTTTATTCATAATCTGAGTTAAAATACATCTCACATGGACCTATATAAATTTAATCATATTTCACAGACTGTGCTACATGAATTAAAACTCCTTCTTTATGTCATCAGCATTGATGATGACATAAAGAAGATAAGATGTTGTCAATCAGTATAAAATGTTTGTATTTCACTTAGTATATTACAAATATTCTTATCCTTTGCACTTTTCATATTTAATTAGGATTCAGAGAAAAAGTAACACCCATGCAGCATTATGCATAGAGGGAGGTAAAAAAAAAAGTCATAATAACACAACTCTGTTGACATTTACCACATTAACTATCCGCTGAGTTAAGATTTCACATCATTATCACATTCATACAAAATATTACATCAATCTGAGAAAATATAATCACAAAAATTTTGTACCACGGATATCAAATGGAAAACATAACCAACAATTAAGAACATTAAACATAACATAATTTTTCTAATGGAAATTCATGTGATCCTTTATATACACATAATATCATTATATATATATTCTTCAAAATCGTCAATATAAAATATTTTACACATTAAAAACCAACTAGTATCAAAATATCATATTAATGGTTCATATTCTTGAAATCAGTTGAAATTACATGTGGCTAAACTGAGTTCTCTCATGTACGGAAGGCCAAGTGTATACCTGAGCTCTTAAAAAGTTACTTGAGTTAAATAACGAATTAGGAAAAAAAAAGAATTTTGGTAAAGAAATGAAAATCAGGAAATAAATTTCATAGAGGTATGTTTCTATTTCTTTTTTCCATCTAGTTACAGATTGTATCTGGTTTGTAGCGGATGTAGAAGCCGACATTTAGCACTCTGTAAATCAATAAAGTAACTCCAAACATTTAGGTGGGTACTTGGTTTCAAACCTAACCAACCTGAACTCGGTTGCATAAAACTTTAATGCCATTGATGGTAACTTTGCCAATAATAGAAAAACTACCATTGCAACTTCAACCAACAACCAATCAAATCAAGGTTTCCATGAAAGTTACCAGAAATGGTAAGTTTCATGCAATGGGCCCCTGGTTGAATAGCTTCCAAGAATATGAGCCAATGATTTGAAACTAATTAATTGGTACCTTATATTAATTCACTAAGAAGATATCTAAATTCTGCGAGAAAACCAGTACATTCCAAAGAAATTATCTGAGGCACTGTATTCATTCTTGTCATGATATAAGTAAACTTTGTGATCTAACAATTTTTAACTCCTTCAATCATTCACACAAAGTACATCTTCCCAGTACATGACTGCCATTTTGCGTTTGCAAATATGATTTACGGCACAGAAATTTCTTTTAGACATCATTTAGATTCAACATTTAATCCATCCATCGACATCCTTTAAACTGTATCAAAAATATTTATATCAATACTTTTCCTAGTACAACGCTAAATATGTATAAGGCATTGTAACTTACCTACATTCAATCACAAAAGTCTATTTCAATATTATATAGCAAGCTTTCAAATGAAGTGTACAAATTTTTTCCTCTAATGATAGCCTTACATCAGAAAAATAATTAATATATCATTTTAATTCAATTTGATTTTAAGTTAACTGACTTCTAACATAATGCTATGGTATAAGTTCCTGGCATACGTTTATGGCTCATTGTAAATCACGCATTGCTTTTTGTTGTTGGTTTCTACAAAACATTTGGATATCAAATTAATATTATAAAGTAAAATACTTAAGCATTATCTTTAACATCTAGTATAGCCTTAATTACTGGCTACAGTTCAAATCAAAGTAAACTTCATAGAAATAGAGATAAATTCTGCTTGTATTTATTTATTCGCGTAAAAACTCACAACCAATCAAATAAGACTGCTTTTAGCAAATCTGATTCTTCAACATAGTCGAAGAGCTTTGTCAAATTTGAAAGACGAGGTTAGATCATCAACTAATAGAAATATTCCTCAGAAACTAGTTTTGAAACAGTAGATGTTTCCCTCCTCGATAATCTTAGATTCAAATAACTTTTAGACTAATGAGTATTGATGTAGACATAAGCCTCACAAAGTGATCCAAAAACTGGTGTTGAACCTTATTTGAGTTTGATTTGGCATCAAAATCATGCACTCATGAAATCAACTTTTTAGGCCATCTGTATTACTCATAACGAGTATGAAGATTTCCAAACACGATCACTATTTTTTCTGTCAATTTTTGTAGTGTTTATTGATACAGGAGGTATTTCAATTTGTTGGTTGTTCATCAAATCCAGTTCATGAGATAGTTTACCAGGGAAAGCAGGGTTGAGGGCAGTATTGCAGATAGGTGTCGAGGGTTCCACTTCTAACATGCATCAGAGCTGTATAGGTTGTTAGCTGGGGAAAGACAAAACATAAAAAAGACAGTTGTTAACATCGAGAAGACAACAGCACAAAACAAAAATAAGAGACAAAAAAGGAAATACAATACACCAATGAGAAAAAATGTGAACAAAGGAGGGTGAATTAAAGACGACAAAAGGACTACAGGAAATTAACTGATACAAGGTGTTTGACTTGATGGCTGCAAATCTACATAGATCATCTCACACTAGTGAGGCATATAGTTGTAAAATGTTTTAAAGTCATGTTTGGTTCTTGATATGTTGCGATATGTGTAAAGCCTCCTGGAGTTAAAGTAATTTTGACCTCTGTGACATTTGGCCTTTGACATTATGATGATCTAATCTAGTGCTTATACACTGATCATGCACACCAGGGCCCACATTTTGAATGAGCTTTAAAGATCACAGAGACTTGTACAGGAGCAGAGCCCATTAAGCATAAAACATAATTAATAATGAGATGCAAGCTTCAAGAACGCACAGTTCACATTTTTACTTACAAGATTTCTGACAGGCTTTGTAGAGAGTACGTTGAAAATTCCTTTCAGTCCAACATTCTGTGATATAACAAGAAAAATATATCAAAAGAATAATTAGTCCAGGGTTCTATGAAAACATCATGAACATCATGATAGGTACAAGAACAGTTTTAGTCTATTAAATATATGCTATGACACTCTAATTCGCAAAGAAACAGAAACCTTCACAGGATTATAACCATTGATGAGTATACTACATGGTTTGGGCTTTTAATACAAACCTAAAAGACCTCAAACCCCAGTCGCACCAACATGACCATCACAAGATTTCTTCCTCTTCCACACAATGATGCATCATCCCAAATTACAGAGAAAAAAAGTGGTAGAATGTATTTAATACATCGACTACTAAATTAATTAATTACCATAGGCTTAATACAGTACGTCCCGATTCCTGTAGGCAAGGGGTTTAATAATATGGAGATCTTACCGCCTGAGTCATGGTGTTCATACACTTAGTGGCTGGTGCTCTTCTATTATCAAAGAAAGGAGGGCTCTCCCAGTTGTCGTAGTTCGTTTCCACGAGGTACCATGTGCCATTGGAAGGGTTCAACCTTTCAGTGCAAAGAAAGAAACGCACAGATTCAAGTGATGTGACATTGATCGGTAGAGAAAACTGTCATAAAAGCATACCTGTAGTTGCCCAAATTCAGGTTTTCAAGAAATAAAATTCACAATTTTCTTTCTAGGCTATAACAATTAAGTCATGACTGATACAATAGTGACTATCATTTACATGCACAAATGTGAAATGAATGTATTATTATACTGATTGAGATAATAATAATATTCCACTTTTATATAGCGCTTAATACAATGTCTCTAAGATCTTTACAGATATACTATTACCCCGGTCATTGGATTCAGTGCTTGCCCGCACACAATGTGTGCACAATCTAGATGAAAGAGATGTTTTTTTAAATATGAAATTGCCCAACAATAATTTTTTGGTATGACTATCACAAAGATATATGTGATATGGGAAACATTACACAGACTTGCACATACATGTATACCGTTAGTCTATTTTGAAGAGCATTTATTAAAATTTAGATTGTCGAAAACACAATTGTCAGTCTGGGAGCTTACATTTTGACATCATCTGCCTTGGTGCCGATAGATCTTGTAATTATGGCGCCCTGTCCAGTTGAGTTTCCACCAAGGATGATGTAGCCGGGAGCAAGCAGATCGACCGAAGTCAGGTATTGCAGAGTAGAATTAAAGCTGTTGAATTCAACATATTGTAACACAATAGTTATCCTTAATGCCTTTTTAGAATTACAGGATATTGAATTAAGGTTAAATATCAAAGTGGGAATTCTATTGCTTTAACTTTACTCATACTAAATCAAACAAATGCAGCATGTACCAACAGGTAAAGTCCTACTCCAGAGGTAACAAGACCATAACCAGGGGAATTTTTTTGATTTTATTCATTTTGCATGAGACTCCAGATTGACATCAGACCTGAGACATCTATAACCCAGTCTCAAGATCATTCTTTACATATCTATGAAATTTTCAAAGAAACATCATTTACTGGTTCTGCTGAGGGGTAGACAAACATGTAGGTTAATAATAATAGCACCTTTTCCTGTGGTTGCAAAGTACTGTGCTATATTATTACCATTGCTTTTTCTCAGCTACCATAATGTGCTGAATCATTGAAGGCACTTCTTCTTGCACAGTACCCATTTACTTCACCTCTATGTAGAGTGACAAAAGTAAATTAGTGTCTTGCCAAAGGATATTAGTTATGTGACACAATTTCAACGCAATTGAACGTGGGCCATGGGTCCAGTGACTTATCTAATTGACCATGAAACCTTAACGTTTATAACTTACTCTGTTGCCTTGACAACCGCATCCCGGAGCACGAATCCCATCCACTGCCCGTCACGCTGGCCAAGGACCCACTCAATGATGCCGATGAAACCACCCTCAGCCTGGAATCTCTCGTTCATGGACAGCGACAGAACACCCTTCGAGGGAACAAAAGTACAAATATAACCAATAACAATGACAATTGGCTTCTTGTGAAGTATTTATATCAATCATACAAAGTGCTACAGTATTCCAATTTTACCCTGGTTTAACAATTTTGGTGCTTACAGCATTAAAAAGATGTTTTTCTACCAAGTAGGCCCTCCTTATTTACTATGATAATATTGATAATAATAGCGACATGTCTCGTGCATTTATATCCATTCTCAAGAATGCTCAATGTGCCTAAAAACAAAGAAAACCTTCGTGAGGCAAACTAAATATATATCAAATTAAATGGATAACAATGAGAAAAATATGGGAACTAACCGACAGATTTTGACATACAAAAGGTTTTTCAAGTTTTTCTGGAACAATTTTTTATATGGATGAGACCTGTACATGTAGTTGAAGAGGGATGACGGGGAGAAAAAATATATGAAGGGATCTAAAAAAAGGTACATGATTGTTAATGTGTTCCTAAGGGATATTAACTGCCATGACGCAAAGCCATTGGAAGTCATAAATATCTCTAACTAGATATGAAACTACACAAAAAAACTCTACATATACATTGATAGTATTTACTGCACAGTTGCATTGCCAGCACATTTTAGGCATCCATTTACTTCATGAGAACTTTATACAATTTCTTACTGGTTTCATGCCTGTGATCATGCCTACATATCCTGCGAAGTGGACCCCTTTGCCAACGGTCTTCCCGCCCTGCTGGTAGTCTACGTTGATGATCAATGGTCGAAGACGCTCCGTCAGGGCCCAGGTGCTGTTCTTTGCATCCCAGCTGGAAGGACGTAAAATAAAAGTGTCAGTGTGTGTGTGTGTATATTGGGGTTTTTACAGACGTGTATTGATCAGGGGGATGTTTCACAAAGGCTTTTTTCAATGACAAAAAAATCAGTGACAAATCTGCTGATAATCAATCAGAAGCACGGAATTCAGTAGCTTATAACAAAAACTGTAATTTGTCACTTATGTCAAGTTTTGTGAAACACCCCCCAGATATGATTATTTAAGTCAGGAAACGAAATTTTTTACGTGACTATCTAAAAGACAGGACTTAGTTTGTAACTTTGGTGCGATCAGATTCAGTTTGTAGGCGTACACAGAGAGCTTACTGTATATACCACAGATGCTTAACACTAGACCAACTTACTGCAGGGATATTGGCTTATTCAAGAAAGAAACAAATTGTCAAAGTGCTAGAATTTTTATAAATAAAATCAGGAATTTTACAAATTGTTTCCGTCATTTCTATTGAGGGTCAATCAACTTAAATATAATAGGTGATTATTTGCATAATACCATTGTCTCCTCATTTGAAAATACAGAGTTCTCAAATTATCAAACAGTTTAACAGTTTCAGGGTTCCATTTTGGAGACACAATTAAATAAATTAAAAAATCACATTCTCCCCAAAATGTATCAAAACCCTGAGAAGTTAAATAACAAAAACAAATTAAATTCATCTACCCTTATATTCTATTCAAAAGGTACTACCGTATGTCCCATTTGTAGTCCAAAAATGAAGGATTAAATTTCAACAGCATTCAAAAGATAATACTAACTTAGAACTTCCCTTAAAACAAAAGGGCGTGAAAATTTCTTTAAGTGGGAAATAAGGACCATTAGTTGTCAAATCGACTTTATTGATTGCAATCACTAAAGTAATTCAATCAGTTTAATTTTGGCCATTACAAGAATTGGGTTATTGATGTAAACAAATGCTATTGTACCCTTTACAGCTCATTTCATGTATGTTCTTACCCCCCCCCCCCCCCCCCAAAAAAAAGAAGTCAGTCAGTCACTCAATGGTGTCTGACAGTGAAGTCTATAGACAGTAAAAAGGTTTCCTTGCACAATTTGAATAATAGGACACTGCTAACTTTTAAATGTCTCAGACATACGGTATGTGACATGTTCATAATTCCTGCAACGTTCTACAGAATTTGATGTTGGCTGCAAATGGAACATAGTGGCCCGAATTCACAAAGCAAGGTTTGAGCTCAGACCAAGGTTTACGTACGTCATATGACGCGTTTTAGACCTTGGTTCAGACCTTGGTCTGAAATGCATTTCACAAAGCCGGTTTGTCCTCAGACCAAGGTTTATGTACGTCATATGACGCGTTTCAGGTTTGAGTTCAGACCTTGGTCTGAAATTACATTTCACAAAGCAAGGTTTGTCCTCAGACCAGGTTTATGTACGTCATCAGACCCGAAATTTACAGACTGCTCAGATAGGAGGTTTGTAATTTCTCAAACCTGGTTTGAGAGCTATCAACCAATCAGGATGCAGCACTGGGTGGAAATAATTTATGCTCGATTGATTTTATCCAATTAATTCACCGCCAAAACAATCTGCGATAGTATCTGGTCAGCCCGATTTTAGTGCAATTGAAATCTCTCAATCTCTCGATCCTTTCCTTAAAATCGTAAGTATAAAACCTGTACATGTAGTCGAATCCATACTCTTCACGTTACTGACATTTCAATATGTGATATGCTTTATAACTTTCCTTTTTTCCATGAAATGTTCGGTGTTTACATATCCGACGGCCTCTCAATTCCAGAGTTCAGGGACTGAGTCCGAGGGAGCTCGAGTCCAACGCCCAAGGCGGCGGCGGAGCTCGCACCCTCTGACCCTGGTCTGGAGTTGGGCCTTGCCGGGCCTAGGCTACAGTAGGCTATATCTGAGTATGTCAGTATGACTGTCATGTTTAATTTCGTCTTGTTGTCAGCAATGCCATGACACATGCCAATTAGAATAGGCCTAGACCTACACTAGTTATTACAAATTCATGATAATGATAATAATACCAGGCTCTAGCCTAGATAGTATAGGCCTGGCAATGATGTCCATCACTTGACTTGTTTCACTGACACTGGTACCTAAATAAATAGAAATTGAAATGGCATCAGCAATGCCAATGTTCCCCAAAATGAATCACACTGACAGGCATAGACCAAAAGCTTCAGTCTCTCTATATCGCCGGTTGTTCACTGAGACTACGTCTGGCTCCACTAGACCTCCGATTATAGAATGTCAACAAATGTCAGTTTTAATATTATTTTTATTAAAGAAATGACCCATATCACTCAGACGGTTAGTCTATTTCTGTCTATGACTAGATCTAGTATGAGTCATGACAAGCAAAGCTTAGTTTTATTAAATTTAGATCTGGTTCTGATTGTCTTAATTAACTGGCTTAGTCTCCAGAGCAAGGATCACCCACAAAGTCACAAGCACAAGTAATAACATTTCTTTAATTTAAAAACATTGTTTAAACATTTGTTTAATTTTATCTTCACTCTAGTAAAGATGGTAGAAATGCAGCTGATTCAGCATAATTAGCTGGTGTACCTGGAAGAGGAGCTGGAGGAATATATAGCAGCACAACCGGGCAGAGGCCTCTGAGTCTGAGATTGGGAAAACCCGCTGGATGATGAGCCTTTTGTTTTAGATTGAGGTAGGCTACTTTGAATTCAAATTCTGTATTGGGAAAGTTGCTGAAAACATGGCCAAACTACTTGATGAATATTGTTAACATAGCTATACAAAAAAAGGGCTTCTGTTGTAAAATCCAACCCTAGTGTCGTTATTAAAATGCAGAAATATTTCAATTCATGTTGACCGCCTAAATTCACTGTTCGTTTGCCCCGCTTCGCTGGTTTGCCTACGACCGTGCAAGCCCCCAATGCTATACACATGTGCATTTAAATAAATTTATTCAATTTCTAAGCATTTTCTGTCATATTCGATACATTGATAGATTAGTTATGATATTTATTCTTTTACATGGTACTGTAGGTGATGGAAGCATTAATGTTCATAATTTGTGTGTGGGGCATTTCCCAATACTGTTATTTGGCTTTAATACATGAGGAAATTATTCAGATTATGTGTTGGAAACAGGTTTGTGATTTCTTGTTTTGTGTCAAACTACTTAACTACTTAAACTTATTTTACAAAAGGTGAAGCCGTGAAGGAGATTAGAAAAGGCATAGACGATTTTGTCTTTTACGTTAAATTGATTCACACCACATCTAGAAATCAGGATTTTTTTTTTTTTTTAAGTGACAGTGACAGTTGGGGATGTAAAAATATAATAGCATAAACCAGCAAAAAAATGATTTATTTGAATGCTTGTTTTTTAATTTTTTTAAAAAGGTAATTCGATCTAAAGGATGCACCGTGAGGAGGTGGCATGCCGTGTCATATTCATCTGTTTGCCAAATGGAGAGTAGTGAGGGATGTTTCCGAAGCTGTTGTCAGAAGAAAGGGACAAGTCATGAAGTTTCCTACAAGTTACAACAAGGCAAATAGTGACTACTATTCAGAAGCAGTTTTTCCAGTACTGCAGATTTCCAGGAGTTGCTGTTGATGGGACACATGTTTACATCAGGAGCCCTGGTGGGGCAAGAGCCAGGTACTACTTCAATAGGAAGAACAGGTACTCCATTGATGTTCAGGTGAGAATAAATGAATACATCATGACTGGATCCAGCACGGCTTTCCCTTTAGACCTTTTTTTTGTACCTTGCGAAATTTTCACATTAGATATATACACTCTCCAGTCTTGTGTGTTGTACATCCATGCTAATTCATTGGTGACCAATGCAAGATTTCTAGTGGCCAAATGGATATTAAAGTAATATTCGCGTACAGGTACTCATTTCACTGCCTTTGTACACAGTTAAGAATATCCAATGGATAGTTAAACTTAAAAATCCTAACACTCATTAATATCTTTTTAACGAAAGGGAAATTTGAAAAATCAAAACTTGTTCCATCCTTCTATTGGCAATATGGATATGACCTCTGGATTTCTGATATTTTGTTGATGGCCATGGCAATTGGGCTACTGTTTTTGCCATTGATCAATGAAAGAAAAAACAACAAAGAGAAACAAATTGATCAATGGCAATTACCACTATATATTTTAAACTATAGAAAAACAAACAGGTTCATTTCCAATAAAAAGATGCGAGAGTGGGTACCCCCTCCCCCCCCCCCCCACACACACACACAAAGCATTTGTTGTTTTAGGCTGGAAATGTTTTGTTAAAAGTGAAATTATTTTTGTTTACATTGTTACAAGATAAACAATGAAAACATGAGTTAAAAATGAAGAAATACTTCATCAGTCAATAAATATAGGGTAATTAGAATTTTCTTCCAATTTTTGTTGTATGAATAGATATTGAAAAGCAATTATCACATATTCAACTGCATTTGCATTAATTACCATAAATAACAAGTGAAATTTATACATTTCACGGCCTATCTGAAGTGTGAAATGAGTGAGTTTTCATAACTAATGAATGCCAACATGTTATTTCATATTGACAGGTTGTCTGTGATTATGCTGGGAAAATAACTAGTATCGTTGCAAGGTGGCCTGGACTGGTAGCAGCCACGATGCCAGGATCTTTTCTGAGTGTGCACTGAATTGACAGCTTCATGCTAGGGCATATGAATAACAGTTGATTCTTGGAGATAGACTATAGGGTAGGTAGATTATTTCTTTATATGAAAACATTTGTTTATTCTTTTTCTTAATCAATCTTGTTTCCTTTTTTGTATTTGGCCAACATGTGACATGTTAGGAATGTTCATTTGGTAATATAGTAACAACTCGCATTAAGTAATTAATTCAAACGAGCTCATGTGCTTTTACATTTCAGTTTACAAATCACAATTAATGTTTTTGATATCTGGATGCAACTTGATTAGTTTGTTGTCAAGTGGAACCTCATAGTTTTTGTATTAGTGACACAGGATTGAATAATTCCTGATTATGTGTACAATACATTGTATCCTTTCTATAGTATTACCCCCCCCCCCTCCCCACCCCCCTCCAAGAAAAAAAATGAACAAGTTGAAATTAAGAATATTGTTTATGATATTGTTTATTTTGTCCATTCAATTTTGCAGGTATCCATGCCTTCTCTGCCTCATCAGAAGCCATTTCTTCATTCAGAGGGTCGACCACAGATGTGCTTTAAAGGCCATCTGTACTAGTTCAGCCAAAGAGGATTAGACAACCCAGCGAGGTCACTGACGGGAGGCTATCTCATCAATTCAGTTCTCAATTAACATAAGAAAAAGAGGATCATGGGGGATTAACAGGCACAGATTGGGGAAGTTTTCTATATAGAGGGAGCAAGTAGCTAGAAGTAGTACAGTGGGGCTTTAACACTTCACACACAAAAAAGGGAGATGTGTGATTTAGCGCATATTTATTAAATGCAAGGATGAGGACGTTCCATGCCTCATCAATACTAAGAGTATTTCAAAATACGGCCCCTCCCTGGTGTTCCCACAATACTTCGTAGTTATGCAGCATTACATCAAGAACCTGGGTGTTGAACTGTTGATTATTTTTGAATATTTTTCTTGTTATGTTTAGTTGATAAGTATTTGTTGTCACTCTGACGGTATTTGTAATTAAACTATAACTATTTAACTATAATTAGCATTGTATACACTGCTGAGTTGAGGGGTGGGTCAATATAAATTATTTGGTTGGCAGCTAGGGGAGAGTATTCGAACAAATATTATTTACTGTACTAAGCGAAGTCAGAATTAAAGAACTTTTATGTGCAAATTTGAATTTTCGTCACCCATTTTGTTGTATTTCTGATTTTCTTTCTGCTAATAGCGCTACAGTGAGACTTTTAATTGGCCTTCCAGAGCCTCTCTTAACCTCTAGTGGGCTATATTTCATATAAGCATGCTACAAAATTTACAAATGTGAACTGCATTGTTTGAACAAACGGTAGATTACTATTGTGTTGTATGCTCAATTATTTATGTAAAACATGAAAATACAAATACAATATTCTTTTTTTCATATATTTACAAAGATAACTGAAATAGATATGTGTCAGATTATCTCTCTCTCTTTCTCCCCCCTTTTTTTTTGGGGGGGGGGGGTGCAGATGTGTGTGTTTGCAGTTTGCATGGTTTTGCATTATGTGTTTCATTGCAAAAAATAAGAAGAAGAGAGAGAGAGAGAGAAAGTTGAATAGAGAGAGAGGGGGGGGGGGGACAAAGAAAAAAATTAATAGAGAGAGAAAGGGAGGGAGAGAGAGAAAGATGAATAGAGAGAGAGAGAGAGAGAGAGAGAGGGGGGAGAAAGAAAAAGAATTAATAGAGAGAGAAAACAAAAATGGGTATAGAAAGAGAGAGGAGGGACGGGGACAGAGAAAGAGACAGGGAGGGAGAGAGAGAAAGATGAATATAGAGAGAGAGGGGAGAAAGAAAAAGAATTAATAGAGAAAGGGAGGGAGAGAGAACAAAAATGGGTAGAAAGAGAGAGGGACGGGGACAGAGAAAGAGACAGGGAGGGAGAGAGAAAGAAAAGATGGCCTTAGAGGAATTTTTTTAAAATTAATATTATATGGAAACAAATCATTTACCAGTTACAATTTTGATGTGAAACAAATAGCCAGTTGGGGAAACAAACGGGGAACTAGTTAAAATAATAATTGATTGACCATTCTAACAAAATAACTATATAGATCTATAGTAATTAACAATTGCAATCAAATGAATTAATATATTAATCACAATAAAAACTTAATTCATATTAAATCATTATTATTATTATTATTATTAGGTGATTTTATTGATAAGAATTTGTAACCCCCAAAACAATAAGACTCTTACAGTTAATTAAAAAGAGCCCTTGACAACCTTAGATGTATTTATCTAACGAAGGTTTTCAGGTGCCGATGTCAATTTATTCTGGGTCAGATTGAGTGCTTCACCAGCACCACACAAATGTGAGTACGTGGGGCACTTTCTGCATCGGCGCGCCAGTTTGCTTCGATTAATTCATGAAAATGCAATTCAAAAGTTTATTTCAGAGATGTTCTAATCATCATCTTTTCGAGATTGCTCATTAAGATGTCTGGATCGTACTAAGAATGCTTAGTTTAACAGTTTTTTCAATTCTTAACATTTAAACCCTAGCCCATAAAAATTATGTTAGAAACCCTATGGCTGAGACTAGTTTTACAAACCTTGGTCGGAGGTTTGGGAATTACAGACCAAGGTTTATACAAACCTTCCTTTGTGGAATGGGTTTGAAAATAAACCAGGTTTGAGCTCAGACCGAGGTTTGTACAAACCTTGGTCTGATCAAACCGGGTTTGTCCTCAGACCTCCGTTGTGAATTCGGGCCAGTATGTTTAAAATGGATTTTCTCTCAATGGGGAGGGCACTTAAGATTCTTACCCCCCCCCCCCCCCCCAACAAAAAAAAGTCTTATTATACACTATACTTGAACTTGAGAATCGGACAACGAAGGCAATGAAATAGATACCAAATTAAAACAAATCTATATGCATTGATCTCAGCTTAATTAAACAAAAAACACAGAAAAAACTTACCCAAGGAAGAGTCCGAAGTCCAGGTTCCTGGCATGAAATAAATCTCCTTTTGACATAAAGAAGATAAGCAAAATAAGGTACCGGGTAGGTTAAAATAATTACTTTGACAAATTGCTATCACATGCATACATGTTTGATTAAGTGCTTGTTGAGGGCACTGATAACCTGTGATATTCACGAAAGATAATTTCATCAAATTGCATATAATGCTGCATAGGCAGTGATTGCGTAAAGGCAGATTAAAGTAATTGACATGAACTTAGTGTCATCTACACTACATGTAAGTTAGTAAAAGAAGTAAAGGTATGCATAAATACTTGACTGAATTTCAAATGGGACAACTGTCTTCCTATTCTTATATTTTCTTCATCATATTGTATTAAGATGTTCATGCGTGGGTATACAGTCGTTCCTGAAGTAGGCAACTTGGCGATCACTACATATTACATAACACTGAGCCAACGGGTATTACACTCCCGTGTGTCCGTTCGTGTGCTGCCCTCTATATACCCACGCTTCTTTAACATAAATTATACAAATATTTCTGGCAAAAAGGGAAAGAGAGGGATAGCAGAGGAGGACATAGGATGAGAAAGAGATACATGTATGAAACTTTAAGGTTTTAATACTACTATTACTACTAATACTACTGCTACTACTACTGCTACTACTACTACTTCTACTACTTCTACTACTACGACTACAACTACTTAAAAAACTACCTGTATTATGGTACTACTTCTAGTACTAGTACTACTCCATTAATCTATGTATCTCATTCTAATTATATCCCTCTGCGCCTCAGAATAGTTTACTAGATTGATGGCGCATAATAATTATGCTGTATTATTAATATCAGGTGGGCTGTAACTTATACAGACCACCTTATATTTTTGTTAAAATTGCCTTTATTATTTATTATTTATTATTTATCAGGTGGGCTGTATAACGTACAGACCACCTTATAATTTCGTTAGAATTGCCTTTATTTATTTATTTATTTATTTATTATTATTTATTTTTCTTATTTCTAACCACTTTTTTGTTGGCAGGATAACTTAGAAATGGCTCGATCAAAAGCCTTGAAATTTGGCACACATATGTATAGGCATATGTACAAAGCACAATAACGTTTTCAACATTGACCTTTACTGATGACGTCATCTAGGCGCCATTTTGTAAAATTTTACGAAAATCAACTCATGATCATATCTTCATAACCAAAAGATATTTCTCATTCATATTTACCATGATCAAGGTCAATATCTGTCCGGTCAATTTCAGGTCAAATAACGCGCGCGTGCGCGTACGTCCGCGCGTCAATGCGCGCGCAAAATTTTGAAATGCTCAAAATCGTCTCAAAATTATTTTGCATACGTTTTAGGCCATTCTAAGCATTTTATAAAAAATCGCGCACTTTATAAAAAAATCGCGCACACGCCCATGCGTGCGCGTTTTCGCGCGTAAAACTATTGCACAACATAGAATCGCCATTTTTTTCTTTCATAATATTCCACATATTTTTACAAACAAATTGATACCATGTTTGTCTCTTTATGACTATTAATAACGGAATAATCGACCGTTTAACAAAAATTTCCGTGCGCGCGAGCTCTTGTAATACATAGCATATATGGGCAAAAAAATGCCTATACAAAATCCATTGTAGCTCTTTAGGATGCAAGGTGACCCCAATTTGTTTTCATATTTTAATAGAGTATGATTCGGAGATATTGTTTCATGTCTCATTTGACCCTCAATTAACTCATGACGTCATCATAATGGCCTCCGAACTCAAAATTCCAATTTGCATATTATGACGTCAGCATATTTATGGAAAATTGATTGTATCTCTGTAAATATTGATCGATTTTTTTCCAAATTTTGATATGTTCTAGCTGAGACAATTTGCTACAAATATAGTAACTATTTTTTTTCATTTTGACAAAGGCATCATGGCGTCTTTTTGCGATTAAAGGAGGCATGTCAATTTATTACATTTTGCGTGTATTCTCTATGGGACATGACTTTTTCTCAAAACTCGATTCTACATTCCCATCTTTCGCGAGCAATTTCTACATCGTTTTAGCTTCATTTACGCTGAACTTCGAGTATGTTGTAGCTGAGACAAAAAGCTATCTCAAATGTACCCTTTATTTTGTCTCAATTTTTGTTGGATCAGCCCACCTATACTTGTTCCAAACAAGTATTACAAATCTAGTTTATTTTTCTTAATTCTCACCACTTTTTTGTTAGCAAGATAACTTGAAATTGTCTGAATCAAATCACTTGAAATTTGGCACACATATGTATAGGCATATAGAGAAATGACAATAATGTTTTCAACCTTGACCTTGACTGATGACGTCATGTAGGCGCCATTTTGTGAAATTTTCTGAAAATTAACTCATGATCATATCTTCATAACCAAAAGTAATTTCTCATTCATATTTATCATGATCAAGGTCAATATCAGTCCGGTCAATTTCAGGTCAAAAAACGCGCGCGTGCGCGTACGTCCGCGCGAAAAATTTCATAATGCTCAAAATCGTCTCAAATTTATTTTGCATACGTTTTAAGTCATTTTAAGCATTTTATAAAAAATCGCGCACACGCGCATGCGCGCGCGTTTTCGCGCGTAACACCATTACAAAACATAGAATCGCCATTTTTTTTTCTTTCATGATATTTCTCATATTTTTTCGAGGAATTTGATACCATGTTTATCTCTTTATGACCATTAATAACAAGATGAGCGTCAATTCAAGATAAATGTCTGTGCGCGCGAGCTCTTTTAATACATAGCATATATGGGCAAAAACATGCCTATACAAAATCCATTATAGCTCTTTGGAATGAATTTTCAATTTGTTTTCATATTTAGATAGAGTATGAGTCGGAGGTATGATTCCATGTCTCATTTGGCCATTAAGTGTATCGTGACATCATCATAATGGCCTTGAAACTCAAAATACGAATTTGCATATTATGACGTCAGCATATTTATGAAAAATTGATTGTATCTCTGTAAATATTGATTGATTTTCTTCCAAATTTTGATATGTTGTAGCTAAGACAATTTTCTACTAGCTCAGTAATCACAATTTTTCATTTTGATCACGTCATCATAGTGAAAATTACGATTAAAGGGCACATATCAGAAATTTCTTAAGTTGCGTGTTATGCCTATGGAAGGTGAAATTCGTTCACATCATTAATCTACATGACATTGTTTTTTAGCAGTATCTCACTTACTTTTGCTCTATTTTGTCTCAAATTTTAGTGCACCAGCCCACCTATACTTGTTCCAAACAAGTATTATATGTCTAGTTATTATTATTACTACTACTACTTACTATTACTACTACTACTACCACTTCTACTACTACTACTACTAATAATTAAGATATCTATGAATGGAGATTTAAAGAAATGTTTCAATATACCTGTTTTATCTTCCACTACCAGTGAAGTGCACACAGTGAACACTTCATAGAAAACATTGTAGAGAATAACTTGACCTGTAGGAAAATATGACATGTTGCCATTCTTTAATATATACAGTAGTTGCCATTCTTGAAAAGATTACTTTGAAATTTCACAATCCAAAGTTCAATCATTAAAATGCTTAAAATCTAAGGATGTGATATCTTACAAAAAGGGGATGGTGCATTCTAGACGTAATGTCTCAACCATTGAAAATCCTGACATAGCACAAGGCAAATTCAATTTGTTGATAACTGGATAAAGAGTATCATCCACGATTTCTAATGACATCCTTTGTTTTTCATCCCTACACATGTTTTAATCTGGCAATTCAAGGAAGTAAATTTGAATATCTTTTGTTATACTCTGTAAACATAAGAATCTGTACCCATAACAATATTTGCATCTACTATTTTGATGGTGAATTATCACTAAAGACAAAGTGTGAGTGTAAACACACAATAACACTTTTAGAATTAAAACAATAGTGTATCAACTATCAATGAATATTATACATCGATTCATTCTCAATTTAATACATTATTATTACCCCCTTTTTGTATTTACAAATATCAATATATTCTTCAGATGGAAAATAAATGACTGACTTACTGAATGAATTATTAAAATCATTAAGAAACCATGAGAAAAGGAACAAAAGCAAAAAAAAAAATAATAATAATGAAATAAGCGAAAGTGTTACCAAGTGGGATGCCTGTAGCATTAGCAATGCCTTTGAGCTCTCCTGGATATGGTTCTGGAAAGGTATCTGCCATGGGGGCCTGGGATAGATAGATTCATCACAAATGTGATGTCACAGGAATGAATGTAGGGTTCATCATACCTTTAGTGATAATCATATCACGACACTGGAGTGTGTGTGCGTATTGGGTTTTTACAGACATGTATCAATCAGTTATGATTATTTACATCTGGGGATGTAACGTCACCATCCAAAAGACGTGACTCAGTTTCGAAGGAGGTGCATGGTGAGGGTTTAAATTCCAAGACCGAATCTTAGTGGAAATCAGTAATTCCTCATAAACAATCTACCTAGTTGGTTTACAGGAAAGGGTTTACCACTTTACCCAGTTGATTATGCACAGTTCTATCTATGTTTAATAACTTTAAAAAAAGATAAAATTCCTAATGGAGAACAGTGTATCTAAATTATATTCTTTTATTGACTACAAAACTTATTGAGAAAAATTCAATTTTTACCTTGGATCAGGGGCCCCGTTTCACAAAACTTGTCATCAGTGACAAATGACAGTATTTGTTATAAGCTACTGAAATCCTTGCTTCTGATTGGTTATCAGCAGATTTGTCACTGATATTTGTCATTTTTCATTGAAAAAAGGCTTTGTGAAACGGGTCCCTGTTGTACCACATGTACTTATAATGAAATACTTATTCACTTAAATCATAAATGCTATCAACACTGCTAAGTAATTTTAACTTAATTGAAATGATTTGATTCTTCATGTATACTCCAGCTCAAGTTACCTTGGTCTTTATATTCAACACTCAATAGCTAAACAGAAAATGTGAGTTATAATATAAAGCAGAAGAGGAGAATTCAAAGAGGCACTTACCAGGAGTTCATCCAAATAATCAACTGCCTTTGTCTCATTAACAAAGATTCCGACTAGATCCTTGATGTCTTGAATCAACACGATTAACTGCAATATGACAATTGAAAGAAAATATGCATTTATTATGTCTACACCAAAACTATATTGCTGTATGCCTGATACACTGGCAGTAAAGCAGCTGTAAATCACATTCTGTAATCACTAATACATTAAAGGGATCTGGTAACTTTGTCTCAGATTCTGAAACAAAATCCTGGATTTAGCTCATGCTGCAATGATAATTGTAAACCTTTAGGTCAGTCAGGAACCCCATGACTGATTATCAAGTTATTTATGATTGGAAATCGAAACCAAATTTTGCATTTGCCTAACGGTTCTCATAACACTACAGTCTACAGGGGAAAATGAATATGGTAAAACCGATCACTCAAAGATTTTTACTTTTTTGAGGCACTTCTTGATCATTTTGAAGCGCGATTTTTGTAGAGCTTCAATATTACACCATATCACAGACACTGATAACACGTATGGCCGTGCATCTCAGATTTAACATTGTTAAACGATGACATTAAATAAAATGCACATCACAGGTAGTAAAAGACAACTGTAATATTTTGCAATCACACCTATCATCAAATGCAACTTGAGTAAACTTTGTCAATACCAAATTTTGGTTAACCCAAAGATTGTACTCTAAATTTAGTAAAATAATTATCTTTATCCAAAACTTATGCTCAGTCACATGGTTAAGTGTATATTCATATGAGCCTAAATAACGCAAGTACATTGTCAATTTTGAAATGCTACGACATGATTGTGACTGATTACCACAAGTACTGTAAATTTGAAAAGTTGCAACATTCTTTCTTATTAGCATCAGAAGTCAGTTCACTACATCCTTTGAAAAATACCTTCTCTGTCAATGGTTTTACAAGACCGGTCCATCTGTCCTCTGGTGCTTGGTCCAGATTCAGGACATAGGTCCCCACCTTGTCCTTAACCGGGGGTGGATATGCATCACTACGACAATCCTCTGTGAACTGCAAGATCAATGATGTAGGAAAAATAATAATAATAATAGTGGGTTCTTGTATAGCACTCATGTCAGTCAGATTTGACCCTCCTGGCGCTCCCGATTATTACCCTGGCTTTAGCACGGCTGCCATACGGCGCTCTAGCATTTTAAGGAATAAATTCCTACCAGGTACCCATTTACTTCAACTGGGTGGAGTGTGGCAAATGTAGATCAATGTCTTGCCAATCATCTACTGAAATAAATATGAACATCTGTCCTTCTTCAGAGCAGGCGAGTCTGGCCACGTTATTGGTGGTGTTTATTTTACCTGGCTGCTAAGAGTAAGAAAGCATAAATGCTTGTTAGTAAGCAACCAGACAGCCGACGGCTTTAGGTCCTCTCTGAGGGACCTGGTAAATGAGGATACCAAAGGGCACTAGCGCATCGACTTGGTTTCGAACTCTGGTCACCGGATTACGAGACTACTGCTCTACCAACTGAGCCACCGCGCCTCCTCTTCAGGGTACTACTGAGATTCTAAAAAGCATGCAGGGAACTTATTTCACAAAAATGAAGCAGTTGAGAACTTGAGATCCAAGTTTATTTCCCATTCAACTGAAAAAATCAATCTAATTTGTTTAGGGATATGTTCTGCTTTAGAAAACCAAGTCTGGCCTCAATGCCTACAGATGTTACAAATCTCCTAATAGAGAGAGATAAAGTTTACATAGCCTTGTATGCATATACGGTATGGTTAAGTTTGTACTTCTTGCCAAATAGAAATACATCATTACATGGCTAGAGCACACATAGGAGCATCACTATCCTGGCTGTGTAGTAAAAGCTGTGCTTTTGATTCTCAACATTTTAAACACCACTGTACAAAACTCAACTGATTTCACTCGAAATCGGTACTTTAGTGACAATTGATGACACCTAAATAGCAGTAAAATACATTTTTTTTAACTTACTGATGTTAAAAAAAATAATTAAAAAATTCAAATTGTAAGTCTAGTGTCAAACTTTGCTTACAGCTGCATCGACATAATTGTGTACAGTCTATGCGAAATTGTGTGGTGTGTATATTCGTGTATAGGTATAATAATACCCGCCTCACAGCAAGCATGCAGTGCTAGAGGTCAATACGCATTAGCATTGACTCTTGGGGGCCGTTTCTCGAAACCGTCATAACTACAAGATCAACGACATCTCGCCACTGTCGCGCAACTTGTCAGCTAAGTGTTTCACGAAGCCGTCTTTGCCAAGATGAGCGACAACTTCCGCGACAAGCGAGTTGTCACTGCTCCGAACCTGTCATATCTTTTTAATTGCTGTAAAGCGCCATCACAAGTCAGTTTGTTGCCATTCCATGGGCCGCGAAATGGACGATTAGTTTCACTATCATTTTGAGAAATATATAGACGAGTTCGGTACGTAATTCTCTCGGATGCGAAATGCAAATATACAAAAGTGAGAATACAAATTATACAGAAACTTTAAAAAGCTGAATATAAACATTAAATCACAAATCATTAAACTATAACATATAAATAAGAGAGGTAAGAATGTTACACACCGTTTTCCATAGTCGATCCATAGTCTTTTCTTAGGATACCGTCATACCTTTGGGGCCTATGTGCATTATTATTCCCTCTCTAATTACTTCTTCCAAATTATATTTTCAATATCAAATCAATTATATAACTAGTATTTATGAGACTCTAGAATAAAAACTGGCTGAGAAAAGACATTTTGCCTAAAATTCCTCGTCACAATAAACAAAAAAGTACGTATTGATAAACTATCACATTACGGTATCCTTCAACTAACTTTTGATTCGACTGTCAAAAAAAAAACACTCACCGGTTTTTCTTCAATTTAAGAGTCTTTACAGAAATATGCAAATCGTTTGATGATGTAAATATGATAATGACACTATTTTTTATTTATTTTAGGAGAATTTATATGTATATATTTCTTTTTGAACAATTTTAGCCCCAAAACTTGTTTTGGGTTATTCTTGATAAATCAAATGGATCGTGACAAAGACTATGTTCTTGAGCTGCTAGTATCGCGATATATCGATATCATGTCTGTCATGGCTTTGTGAAACGGTTTATCCGCTTCATGACATCTCCGTAGGTCGCCGACAAAGATATGACTGTCATGGAGTTGGTTTCGAGAAACGGCCCCTTGCTCTCTATCAGTCTATGCTTAGCTGGAGTGGGCTAGAGTGACTATCTGCATTTGTATCCTTGAAGTTGTATGCATATGGTTAAGTTTGTAATTCTTGCCTTACTCTTTTGAATACAAGGAATTATATCAGATTAATAATTAGAGGAATTTAAAAGAAAACCCTGTCAATTTCATGTCAAACTTTAGGTGCGCAGACATATTACAGGGCCCTGCAGGGCTCCCCATTAGGAGCGCATCTCGCCGCCTCGCCTCTCGGCGGACGCTTCCCGATCCCCGCCCCGTCCGTCCCCACGCTTGTATTTTTGTAATACATGTAATATGGTCAAGTCGTCGCCTCGAATTTGGAGTGATGTACTGTAAATTTGAAGCAAAATGCATAAAACTTGAAATTCTTACCGGCGGCAAATCTTGAGCATTGGCCCAGCTGATAGACAGCAAAAATAAAACGCTTAATACGGTTTTCACGTCCATCTTGAACAAGAGTCTCGCAGGTCATGTGAGAATTGATCGATAATCGTGTACACAAGTTATCGCGATAGATATCACATGATCAAGAATTGCGCAATAGGTGGGCGTGGCACTTGGCGTGGCATCAAGAACAAAAGAAAGGACAGTGTGCGTACATGTATCCCAATTACAGATTTACTGTAGCTTGATTCATTATCATCATCAATTTCATCATCATGATACGAATCGATTGATTAATTGATTGTTTGATTGATTTTTATTCGCCAAGCCCAACATACACCAATATACAAGAACAACAGGTCAAAATTAAGTCACCTTGAACAGGATAATCAACGAAAGCTCGAGAGCTTATTTCCAGTGGGGTCCCCGACAGACATGTAGGCCTACACAATTAATAAGTTAAAATAGTAATATTTACAGGCCGATAAGGAAAAGAAAAAACTTATTGAAGATAATAATAATAATAATGATGATAATAATAATAATAACATTAAACTGATGATAGAAATGATAATAAGTACAAGAAGAAAAGAAGGAGAAGAAGAAAAAGAGGAGGAGGAGGGGGAGGAAGAAGAGGAAAATAATGAAGAATATGTAGAATTTCTATAACGTACACAAATATAAGTATATACAAAATGAAAAGGTGTGAACCGGTAGAAGAATAACAATTTCAATCATATAACATGTCATTCGCTTCTCTTATCTGACTCTCAAGTGTTAGGTATTCCTTTAATTTCCTCTTAAAATGAGCAAAGTTTTCTAATTCCTTTATATCATTAGAAGGGATCTCCAATGTTTTATGCCATAGTTATAAAACGAATTAACATTTACCAATACTACCTACACTTTCTGGCAAGTTAAAGTTGAATCGGCTTTTTCTTGTATTATAATCATGCAAGTCAGTAACAAGATTGAAGTTGGATCGAATATAATGATTCGACCTCGTATGATATAATTTATGCATGTGATGCAATACGAGTTGTTTTGATATTTGGTTGACTTCAAGAAAACCAGCTTTAGTAAGTTCGCTGAAGCCAACATGAGTTCTTGGACCAGAACAGTTGATGAATCTTATCATTTTGTTCTGTCTAATTTTCAACTTCGAAGAGAGATTTATCCTGTAATCCTCGGTCACTTCATCTTGATTACTCAGATATTAGCCTATGAAAATGACAAATATTATACAAATACAGTAATTCCTCCTAGCTAGTAACTGATGTTGACTTTCAAGAATCTTAGACCCATATTGCATTTTTTGAATAAAATGATAATTACTTTTTATAAGTTATTCAGATTGTGCATGGCCGCTCCTTCTAGAGAAAGAGAGAGCGAGAGAGAGAGAGAGAGAGAGAGAGAGGGAGAAAGAAAGAAAGGGGGATATTTACTTTGCTGGTGTAATACCCTGTGCCCTACAGCTCCCTAACATTTTTATTTGGGAGCGCTTCTTAGCTCTTACATATTTTAAAAAAAGCTATAGGCGTATTAATCAATTAACTGCAAGAAGTTTTGATATTGTTACTGTACAACATAACAGGAAAAGAATATGTATATATATTTTTAATTTCATGAAGTGCAAGCGAGTTGAACACACTGGAACATGACTGAGAGATTACGATATGACATATATTTCGTATTAGAGAAATTGTATTTTCTTTAAGGAAATTGATAGTTCTTTCCACTTATTTGCAGATATAAAGGGCGTCTCTAGGATGGAAAGGATGAAAACATACTTTGGGGTTACGTACTCCAAAACTTTTTTCTTTCTTCTGCTTCTAAACTTTATTCAGTCTTCTTGGTAAGTACTTACAAAAGGTGAAAATAATATTTTTAGATATTCTTCAAGTAAAACATGAAAAATATAGTATCTAACTCTAATCTTTATTGTCTTAATTTACGATTATTTTATTACTGTCGACTGTAAATTTGAAGGGCAACTGAGTAAATAGATTTACGTTGAGAGTAGAAATATTGTGATTGACTATATGGTAGATTAACGTAAGTGGGGTACTTCCACTTTCCTTCTGCAACTTGAAGGAGTTTATTAAGTCGATGCACAGGATGCCAAGCTAATAATTTTCCTTTGTAGTGTAATTACTTTTCTTTTGATCTTCATAAATGCTACAATCAGAGCATTTATTTCTAGTGTATAAACTTTTTAAGGAATAACAGTTATATTCAGCAAATTTAAAAGCTCTTTTTTGTATCTTAAAAAATAAATTATAAACTAAGCGCTTCAAATTGGCAATAATACACACCTGTCTGTGTGATTCTACGGAATGATGGCTGCTACCTTCCTGCTAGTATCAGTCGATAATGATACTGCTGTGAATTAGCTCCCGGATTTTGTGGATATCTATCATATTGCAAGGAATTACCGTAATTCTACCCTGGGATTGTGATAACTTGCCACCTACGCTATGGCATCGGAGGCTTCTGTGGAAGCAGAAACATCGAAGAAGGATATTCTAGCTAAAAACATGCCCGCGACAGGCACGGCCAAGATGAAGTTTGGGGTCCTCATCGGCCTGATTGAGGTGGGGGAGATCGAGAACCGTGATATAGTGGACACCGTGCTAGATCTGGTGAGTAGATCTATTACAGTGGCAATAAAATAGATCAAGATCTTTTATAACAGCTTGATCTGCAGCAGTATACGACTATATACATGTGTGATTGTGAGTGGAAAAGCACTGAATATTTTATGATCGTGTACTGCTCCCTTGAGTGAATGTGTGGATGCCGGATGATGATGAGACAGCGTTATCTGAACTAATAAAAAGTCCAACTCCAAGCTAAAGCTAAACTAGTTAGGGGGAGGGGGTTCACTACGCTATAATAAGGCTTAACTAGCCTTTTATTTTCAGCGGCTATAAAGTAATTTAATTCAGTGGTCTAATCCATGCTAATGAACAGTAGGGCGCTTGTCCAAGAATAAGGATCGTCTGCGTTTCATATTTTTGATCTGCACGTTGACGATGCAAAAAACGGATTCCGGGATGATTTTCTTGATGCATTTTACATTGACAAACACTGGAAGAAGGAGCAATATCATTCACCCTTCTCCCAGTTGACACTCCAGTTATGACAATCCTGATATGACCCAGCAAGCAAGATACAGATGTAAAATGACTATGGTGCAAGACCCGGAAGCTGGGACATCCCCCCCCTTGAAGTTAGACCTGGAAGCTTGGCAGCTGGAGACGGCTTTCTTCCAGAAGCTTTGGTATTCAAGGTATTCAAGGTGTAATGAGCGGATAAATCCTTGGGAAGATGGACAACCCATAAAAGTAGACGGTGAACTACAGTTTGTAGGGTTATTTTCTTATGCCAAATCCATTTTTTTGCATCGCTGGCGAGCAATTCGGTAACCCAAAACCTGCAGAGCGCTAATGAAAAAATACATCTGCGAAACTGTAGATGATCCTTGTTTTTGCGGACGCATTTTGTCCGCGTTTATGAGGACAATCCTTATTCTCGGACCGGCGCCCCTACTGATGAATGTACTTTCGCACCACCATAAATGCTTCATTCTTTCACGCACAATGCAGTGCAGTATGTACATGTATTGAGTCAACAGAGACTAGCTTGTGCTTCATTTTGTTAAATGTATAAATAATGTATGTGTAGAGTCATTGGAGTGGTAATGAAGAAACTGATGTGTCTGACAGAATGAAGTATCAAGGGCCTTAAACCGCTCGACCATGACACTTCCATTGACAAATAATGTCAATTACATACATTGTCAAGACTCAATGCCGGTGTCAATTTTTCTGGGACAATATGCGTAAAAATCTTGTCTCCCTCTTTTTTCTTCTCTTGTTGAGTCTCTCCTCTAGCTCTATACCCTGCTATTTTTTTTGGAAATAAAAAAAGGGGAAGTGGCATGCACCCCCACCCCCCCCCCCCTTGGATCTGCCTCTGGCTTCTACAATAAGTCTCCTTTCTTTCAAAGAAACTTGATTTCTTTTTTCTGTCAAATCTTGGGTAAAAAATACATGTACTGTACATGTAGGAACCAGGAATTAATGTTTTTCTGTTAATGAAAAAAAAGAGTGCTAAAGTATTTGACCCCTATGTCCTCCAGAGTTATTGAACAAGATTATGAGGTCATAAATCTACATGTACGTGCTGTAATTCACGTCCTGCATAAAATATCATGAATTGAAAAGTTTAATTGACAGTACCAGAAGTCGAAATGGTAATAATGTTTTTTTTTTTTTAATTGACCTGAGTTAACAATGTACTGTACTGTTTGCATGACTTCACATTTTTTAGTACTTAGACAGTGATTGGACTGCAATTATTATTTCTTGTATTCACAATCACATACAATGTAGTAAATGGTATATTTTTACATTCCACATATCAAACTGAGATACAGAAAGAGAAACTATCATGGGCTATTTCTTTTTCACTATTGAGAGTACCGAGGCATCTACATGTATTACATGTAGGTAAAGATTGCTATTTATTATTGCAATTTAGTTCTACCATTTGATGGTGTTGTGACGTTAATCTTGCCCCTTGAAATACAGGGAGAGCCAGTCCTGCTATTCTTATAAAAGATTATGAGAGTATGTGTTTGTAGGCTTACATGTCCAGTACATGCACAGTTCATGATCTGCATACTGTAGATGCTGTCAATGAAATGTGTGGTGAATTCATGAGAATTGAATATTTTAATTTTAGTTGTCTATCTCTCCCTGGCACACCAGATACTGCTTGAGATCTGCTTGATATAAGTGTTAAAACAAAACAAAAAAAGAAAGAAACATACATTATCATACAGAAAACATGTACTAGCAGTATGTAATGTTGCAGACAGTAGACACAAAAGAGGAACATCATGATATTTTCTTTTCTAGTTGATACAGACTGGCAGAGCATGGGAAAATATTGTAGGAATTTTTTCCAAGGTTGAATTTTACAATAGTGAGAATACATGTATGCAGAACAATAGAACCCCACATTGAGAATTCCATGTATTTAAATGCATTGTAAATTATAAAGCTAACTTTGGCAGGGGTGGTAAAGAGAAAAATCACTGATTCATATCATGGTGTAAATCACTTAATAACAGTATATCATGGTTTAGAATTAAAAAACCCAGTGGTATTTTAGTAGTATTTTTTCAAGTCACTGATCCATATCACCTTTTAAAAAGGCCAACCCTGCATTGTAGGTGAAATTGTGATGCTGACACAACAAGAACTATAACAATAACAACAATAACAACAAAAACAAACAATAAAAATAACATTAACATTATACATGTATATGTATCACACTCTGCTGCATTGATTATATATTTTTCAGAGAAGATCATCAATTTAAGTCCTCAGCTACAGTGTTTAGTAGTGTGTGTGTTTGAATTCATGTAAGTTAAATATATTGAAATGTAGATAAAGATTCAATTTAAGAATTTTATATCGGGTGGTAAATTATGAATTAAAGAGAGTTTCATTCATCAGTTCATGTGCACTACTGCACTTAACATAAACATTCAGAATTCAGCTTGACATGTATACAGTACCTGATAAGAATGATATACAATGTAGTATGGGTCCCTTTGATAATTAAAAAACAAACAAACAAACAAACACCAGAAATTATACACTTCATGTACATATATTGTATAGAACTATACATGTAGTACTAGTAGTAGTAGTTGCAGATCAATAACAAATGTTACTGCATCTACATGTAGACAAAAGTCAATTTACATCTTAGAATACACATTTACTAGTAAAGATGTTAAGAGTGTATGAATATGAAGGGTACATAATTTACCACTACCAGGTAGCTGTATTAACACTTCTGTAATAATAATAATACCAGAGTGTGGTTTTATGAGTGGCAATAGATTATTTTTAGATGTGGCATCCATGGCTTTTAGTGATGAGTCATAATACACAGCATACATTGAGCGTTGGACACGTGAAGCTCTACGATCAGGGGGCGAGGTAGGAGCAGTAGATAGACACCACACCATGATTCAGCTACATGTGTAGTCATTACCTGATACTTCTTGCTTCAGTGGCTTGTACACCTACATGTATATGTAGATTTTTCCTTTCAATGTACTTGTAGGCCCACATGTTAGCATTCTTGCATTGGAGAGAAAATGAATGAGTGTATAATTGTGTGAAAAAGGAGTAAAGAGAGAAAAAGGAGTAAATAGAGAAAAAAGAATAAAGAGAGAGAGAGAGAGAGAGAGAGAGGGGGGAGAGGGGGGGGGGGGGGGGAGGAAGAAGAGAAACAGAAAGAGAAAAAGGATAAAGAGAAAGAAAATGTAAAGGAGAGAGAATCATAAATGAGCTATATTAAAAAAAAAGAGGTAGAAAGAAAAAGGAAGAGAGAGAGAGAGAGAGAGAGAGAATGAGAAGAGAATGAATAAAGAGAAGAGAAGAGAAAGAGAATGAAAGATCAACATGAGTACATGTATGAAGTGAACTGTACATATTCATGTACACACATATATATGTAGATCCAATACCATGTGACCTGAAATGACTGACACTGCTGCATGTAATGTAATTACACTGTCTACAATTTATTTAAATTACTTCTATCTAATGATAGAGTGTTCTACCTTTTTCTGAAAAGTTTTAACAAACAGAATTGTTATTTCTTTTCTTTTAATGCAGTTCATGAAATTGAATTAAAATTTATTTATTATAAAGTCAGATTTATTAACCAACCTGCAAAATAAGACAAAAAGATCGATATGTAACATATAATACATATTGCTAGTACTCAAATATAAATATAAAAAATTCAAGGTGCACAATATTTCACAAAATAGAAGATCAGCTTACGTTTGTAAGTTGACATCTTCAGAAGATAACAAAAATATTATCCTGTTAAGAAGAAATAGTATTCCTTATATTAAGTCACACACCACAGTATGGTACATGTACCACACTCAAATGAACTGCTCTCAATAAAACACCTACATGTTACTGTATTGCAGTTGCTGATTGATCTGTTAATTAAAATATCTTAAATTTAGGTCAAAAATTATTCATATATATAGTTAATATATACATGTAAGTAGGAAGATACAAAATAATTTGTAGACTGGAAATTTGGAAAATCATAGATCCTTGTCTGCAGAATGAAAATACATTTATGTACTGTTCAATATGAGAATGCTGGAAAGCACAACAAAACAATTTGCCAAGTACTAGCGGTAATTTTTTTCTTCTAAACTGTCTTTTTTCCATATTGCTTGTTCTGTGGGTACTGCACACTACAGTACATGTATGTTGTAGGAAGCCATACATGTAAAATTTCACTCCAGTTACGAAAACAAATGAAATGGAATTGATGCAGTGCATACAGATTTATGTGCATGCTGCATGTAGTTGAAAGTGCATATGAAGCCATTAAACAAAATTCTTGTGAATACAAAAATCAATACATTGTGTAGTGTGGGATAAAGTAAATTACAATGCACATGTATATGTACTGTATGTGCAGTGGGGAAGTTAGGTCATCTAGGGAAGAATGAATCATAATGTATTGAATTTTCATGTTTTCTCTTGAGTATTTTACAATGTATTAGCATTGTATTGGAGTA